GTTTTTTGAAAACCCCAAACGACGAAAACTATACAGTGATGATAAAATTTAAAAGGGGAAACCTTAATCTGAACTATGGCAGAAAAAGTTAGTGATGAATATAGCCTGATATTGCCCTGGTGATAATCCATGTTTTCATGGTTTTTTTACCCCGTATGGTGCTAATTAGCCAAAAAGTTTAGGGTTATAGAGGCCCTTGCATTTTGGAAAAGAGGAAAAGAAGATTTCCTTTTTTAAAAGAACTTAACCCCAAAAAAAACGAAAAAGCTTTAACAAACTGATTTTTCACCCCAAAAAAGTAATCCAAAAACATTTTGAAAACATTAAAATGTATAAGCTTTTTACTAAAATAAAATTGGTCGCCCAAATTTTAAAATTTGGTAAATGTTTTTTATGAACACTTCCAAATTTTAGTTTTAAAAAGGTATTTTTATAAAATTTTCTTCAAGGAAATTTTAAAATAATATTTAAACCCATTCCCAAAGAAATGGTTAGATTCATTTGGGAAATTGCAACCCTTTGGGAAAAAATAATTAAAACCAAAAAGATTTCATTTCACCCAAAATCTGGGTAAAGTATTCTTTTAAAAATAAACTTTTATATATTACATTTTAAATTATTGCTTTTCATGATTTGATTTGTGAAAAATTAATTTGATCTGGTTTCTATACATTTTAAAAACATATCTTTTGCAAATGATTAAAATGTCAAGTAAAAAGTAAAACCATTATTTAACTTTTTATGAAAAATTTTAATATTAATAAAAATTATATGAAAAAAAGCATTTTAAAGTAATGATATTACTCCTATTAAAATAACATTTTACCCCCATTCAAATTTAAATTTTTCGTCTGTAGAAAAAAAAATCATTTAACAAATTTTTCTTGTTTCGTTTATCAGCGGACCCTTAAATTTAAATTTTGCTTTTTGCGTATCCACTTTAAATAGGTTAAAGTTTTTATGCCCTTGACCCGTTAAATAAGGACAGCCAAATGATTTAAAAAAGCTATAAAAAAATTTTTGTGTTAAAAAATTTTTAACTGCATAAAATGAATGAAAAAGGCGATAGTTTTTTTCGTTCGGGAAAAAACTTATTTTTTTGGCAAGATTTCGAATTTCATTTCATATGATAAAAAAAGTTTGGGAAGTTGTGTTTTGGGGTGAACTTGAAATGGGACAAAAGAAATTTTAAAATAACCATTAGCAGTAACCCTACATCTTAAAATAAGTGTTTTTATAAAAAATAAAAATCGGAAAAACCCAAAAAAATATTATGTTTTAGCGTTGAAAATTTTTAAAAAAATAAACTTCCCTTAAAAATACCAATATTTCCATAAGCTCGTAGTGTAAGAAAAAAAAACTATTTTTGTTAAATTTGGTAATTTAACAAAACATAAACTTAAGCACCCAATATTATATTGTGAATATTCGAAAAAAAAGACTTGTATATAATGATTGTGATATTGTATTGTGTGTATAAAGTGTAACGTGTGCAAAAAAGAATTGAATACACCAATACATTAAATAAAACATTATTTGTACTTTGTCCTTTTGTGCAAACGTTCACAATATATAATTATGCACGAGAACTTTATTTATTGATTAAAAAATCCCATGTAATTTATAATCAAACATTTCTTTTTTAACCCATGTTTTTTAGGTTCCATCCGCCCGTTTAGGCACTAATGCAGCTTGCGCTGGCGAGTACGGACCCCCAGGCATGTCACCAGTTTTTGCTTAAAGTGTCACTATTGAAAGCACAAAGTGGTTATAGTTTACCTCCCTTGCAATTTTCACGGAGTATTTGTCAAAGATATGAATTTCGAGCCAAAAAGTAGGTCGCTGTACGGCGGTCATTGAGAACCTAAATGTACAGTAACCTGAGAGAATATGAAATGCAGGTAGCCCCGAAAAGGGCTCTTGGTGCTAAGCAAAGAGAGCATGTCTGTCAAGCTTTCACTTCATGCAAGTGGCTCAAACACCCTAACATCCTTCCTTGTTGTCCCTGCCTATTTTGTAGGGTCACTCCCCTCGCCTTTATCCAGCATACTGACAGCAGGTCTGCAGGCTACATGTTTCAGCTTTTTTTTATTTTGCCGCCCAATATCTTCAAATACTTTACCAATGTCCTGTGCCTTCTCTACGGCGTACGTGTACCAAGGGGAATAACTGTTGTATAATTATCCGTACACTTTGGTGATGATGATGATGATGATGATGATGATGATGATGATGATGATGATGATGATGATGATGATGAAGATGATGATGATGATGATTTAAATACTGCCTCCTGAACAACAAAAACAACCGCAATACATGTATGTTTAGCTAAATGTGAACTGATTTTATACCATAATTTGTCATGACTGAATTACTTCTATGGTTTAAGATCACAAGTAAGTATCAAACAATTACATTAATTGAAAGGTATCCCTAGAAAGCTTTTAAAGTGATCTTTTATTTAACATCCAACTTGGATAAGAAACAAAGAAGTTAGTAGGGGCGCCGTTTTCTTACCGAATTTCAGAGAATGCTTTTCAGAGGGGGGAATAAAATGTAAATTTGAAACAATAAATTTAATCTTTTTACTTAATTCATTTTTATTATAAGGCAATACTAGAAAGTTTATGAAGTAATCTTTCATTTGATACCAACATTATAAAATTGATTGAGAAATAAAGAAGTTAGTAGGTGCGTGTTTTCCTTTGTAGTAGTGCAGTCATATACGGCATTTAGCCTTGCCATAAAGTACGTGCAGAACGAATATTAGTGTCATTCCAACACATGCGCATTGAGAGAACAAGCCAGAATTTGTTTTTGTTTACATCGTTACTTGTGAAAAGATTAATCATCACATTTCACATAACAAAATGAGCCATGGTAAATTTGACAGCGATTTTGGTCAGGCCTGTAATTGTACTTCAAAATGCAATGCATGTTTCCTGGTGATTCCTCCTTACCTTTAGCAAATTTCTTGTTAGTTTAACAACAGTTTTTCACACCCCACCACTAATGGCACTATAGGTAACAAGAGGATATTTGTAATGATATTATTGTTAGGAGTGGCAGTTAGTTAAGACAAGTTAAAAGACAAGTCATTCTTATTTGATAAACAACCGAATGATAAAAATGGTTAACTGATGCTCCATCATCCTTTCAAATTGTCAAACTTGTTTTGTTCACGGGTGAAATTTTCTGCCAGTAATCCCAACAGGACATCTGTTTTTGAATTCAAAAATCATTTCCTAAAATTAGAGGTCCCTGATTTTTTTATGTCAAATGTACCAGCCTTGTTTTTTTTCGAAGTATCCGGTCTAATATTCTCTCAGTGACCTCAGACAGTTTCAAGTGTTGAAAAGCTACATGTAGTTATATCAGTAAAATTGGTTGGTTGGAACTTTGTGCATCCTTACAGATGATACTTGATCATTGCTGTGTCAACGGAATTTGTTTCTTTAACTAAAATAGTTTGTTTGATTCTTTCAGGTATAATCAACACTTGAACAATGGAAGGAAAGGAAAAGACAATGCAGGAGGTGAATGTGCGAGTTGCAGTCCGGGTAAGAATTTCTAACACCCAGAATGTTTTTTTAACCAAAGAAAACTCAAAGTAGTATTTGAAAGCAGCACGCCTCCAGATAAATGCTTATTTTCATGAAAATCTTTCTACTTTTTTCTAAAATCTTAGTACATTTTTCTCAAGTTTAATTTATTAAAATATTTTTTCTAAACTGGAGGCATGCTGCTTGAAAGTGTTATGCACACATAGAAAAAATTTCTTAATATGGTTTGTTCAAACAATTTTTATCAGTTACTGACATTCAGTGTTAATGTTTATAAATTGTGCTTTGTATATAATTGTATACATGTAGTTTATTATTGCTCAATCTTTATTTTTATGTTGTTTGTTTGGACAGTTTTTATCATTTATACAAATACATTGATTGTTAACATTTATTTTTGCTCAATTTTTTTATTCATGCTGAATTGCATTATTGCAATGAAAACTACCAAGTTGAATGTATATTTATGATTCTTTAACATTTCAAAATAAGAGTATATACATGTACATTAGAAAGTAACTTTTATGAGATGTGGTTATATTCAAAGGTGCGGCCAATGTTGCCAAAAGAGAAAGTTGGCGGTGATGACATGTGTTTGAAGATAATACCAACAACTAAACAGTTGATCCTTGGGAAAGATCGTGGATTCACTTTTGATGAAGTGCTATCACCAAAAAGTACTCAGGTATCACTGTCTTTCCTAGTCTTGCATAGAAAAGTTTTCTATTAATATTATTAATAACCAGAATGCCAGTAATACATTTACATGTATGTCATTCAGGTAATTTTATGAAAATTCAAGTTATTCTTTTAAATATGCTTTATTAGTAATAAAATGCTTTTAGTTTTTCTAACATGACCTCTGTTTATTTTGTAGAAATTTTGATTTGTTAATGTATACCTGGTCTCTCAGAAACTTTATATCTGCATCACAATAGCTTTATGCTTAAATGATACTTGTCTTTGATTGATGAATTGTAATTTATTGAAAGAAAATACTGTTATCTACATGTATATAGAAATATACAGACTATCTTGGTTTACTATATTGTTATAGGAGGAAGTATACAAGCTGTGTGTAGAGAATCTTGTCAAGTCTATATTTGAAGGCTACAATGCTACAGTGTTTGCATATGGCCAAACAGTAAGTAAATACATACTATGAATAAGTGTTAAGTTATTGTTAGTAAGTGACTTAGTTTTAAATTTGTTTTTTTTTTATATTTGTTTCTTAGCAAAATGTCACAGATAACTCATGGTAGTTAGGCTTCTAAACAAAGTGGAAGGGAGGAATGAACTTTACACAAAATTTTCATCAATTATAACTTAATTCTTTTCTGCTATATTTCAACAACAACACATTAAATCAAAAGCACATTGATTGGGCCAGACAGACAATATGTGAGTCTAGTTAAATTAGTATGTCGTGATTTATCTCACATTACATGCATTTTAAGGGATAATGCACTTTCAGTTGAAGATAATGTTTGCATTTTTGTGACATTCTATTTCCATTTATATTTTGAACAAGTATTCACACTTGTTTTGTAAATATGAGTACACAGAACTGTGAAGTGTAAATATGAAACATATATGTGAAAGATAGTTATTATCTTTTAAAAATGAAAAGGACTCCAAAATGTATTCTGTTTCAATTGTTTAATATCAAAACATGTGTATAACTGTATGTTGTTAAATTTCCATATTTCACATATGTTTAAATATATTGTTGTGTTTTATACTGTCAGATTTTTAAATTATAATCATGTAATTATAAATTGATTGTATATTCAGGGATCTGGAAAGACCTACACAATTGGTGGAGGTAACATCTCACCTGTAACTGAAGATGAAGATGGTATTATACCACGGGCAGTAAGACAGATGTTTGATACCCTGAGTGTAAGTTTTTTTACCTGCGCCACACTAAATATCTTAGATGAACTTGTCAATCTGAACAAAACCATGCATCATTTTTAGAGATATTTCCAAAGCATGTAAATCAGTAAAAAGTGAACAGTGCATACTATGATAAGATATCACAGGTGTCCTGGCTGATCTTAGTTTGCACTGGTCACATGGGTAAAAAATGATGTTGCCAGCAGGCAAAGGGTTAATTAAAATTGAGTGAGACTAAAAAAAGGATTGGAGCACCACACTAAATACCGTATTCCGGTACATACCGGACAAGGAGCTTGAATGATAAAATGTTAAAATCTTGCCTTTTTACCTAACGGAATGAACTTTAACAGGTCTAATTCATCTTTTCACACCGATTTATGTATGATAATGAATGAAAAATGTAAATATCGGCGAAAAAAAAAAGATATTTGTCTATTTTGTGATCATGATTTCTGCAAGTGCCTAGAGGTACTGCTCCAATCCTGTATTGAGTTAAATCCATTAAAATTTGAGTTTACTATTTTTTCGGACATATCTTTCCTTAACAGCTTTCCAAATCTATTGTTCTATGCAAGTATCTGAGTGCCCTAATGTTAGATTGCTGTAATTTTGTAGTTTGACTATTGGAAGAATAGGGAGAGCTATTGTACTAACAGCAGCATTGTTGTCACTCTTTGGTTAAGTATTTGCATGCAAGTTGGTATCTCCAAAACTACTGTAGATAAATGTGTTGAAACTTGTTCTCTGTGATTATCTAACATGATCGGCACAATTCCCATGACTCTGATTTTCATTTTAACAGAGTTATGCCCCTGTTTTAACTATCAAGCACTGAGAAATCCAGCGCGATGCACTGTTTGTGAGACAACTCTAGTAACTGAAAGACATGTTTCCATCTTGTACAAATTGTGTTTTGATCTTAAAGATGAATGATACCCTGGTTTAAAAGATCTATTTCACTAAATTACTTACAGGTTGTTTTGTTTACGGAAGAAAAGTTCTTGTTTTGATGTATAATATGAAAGAAGTTCATAACCGGGTGTTTTATATTACAGATTGATAAGAGCGTGACATACACAGTGAAAGTATCTTATATAGAGATTTATAAAGAAGAACTGAGAGATCTGCTAGAACTAAATAGTGATAATAAACCAGATCTTCATGTGAGAGAGGATGACAAGGGCAATACTGGTAATATATTTACAAGTGAGACTTAAAAAGGATTGGAGCTAAATACCATATTCCGGTATATACCGGACAAGGTGTTAAATGATAAAATGCTAAAATCTTGCCTTTTCGCCCAACAGAATGAACTTTAAACCATCTAATTCATCTCTTCAAATCTATTATATAGGATAATGATTGAAAAATGTAAAAATCAGCGAAAAAAAGATATTTGTGTATTTTGTGATTATGACTAGAGGTGCTTCTCCAACACTGTTAACATGTGTTTCTAATGTTTTATGAAAAGAGGCGTCCATGGTCTAGTGGTTAAGTTTGTTGACTTCAAACGACTGGCCCCTCACAGCTGTGGGTCCAAATCTCAACTGGGACTTTGGATTATTTCATGTGAGAAAGCTACCCATCTAGCTTACGAAATGTTGGTGGTTCTATTCATGTGTCCATTTGTGTCGGAAATAATGCACGGAGGGGTACCCGAGGTTTTTCTCCACCAATAACGCTGGAAAGTTGCCATACGACCTATACTGTGTTGGTAAAGTAAAACCAAACCAAATGTTTTGTAATAATGATATGTGATGTGACTTGTACATAGCTGGAAGTTTGATGAAGCCGAAACATTTTTTTTTTCAAATCTTATCAATGATTAAAAACCATCTGTTCTGTAGATAGTAGTATCTTGGTTGTCCACGGCTATATATTTAATGTTGTTCTTAAATTTTAGTTATCATCGGTGCACGTGAAGTTGAATGTGAGAGCCTGGATGAGGTGATGTCATTATTAGAAACTGGGTCAGCTGCGCGGCACACTGGAGCCACGAACATGAATGAGCATTCCAGTAGATCTCATTCTATCTTTACTATAACAATAGGTAAATATATAGTAACCTTACTCTATAAGTAACACTTTTGTTAAATCATTTATGCAAAATTGTTATGAAAACTAAAAAACTATGGAAGAAAAACAAAACATCATTATGAGTTTGATTTATGGAATTTTATTTTTCTCTCAGTTCAGTTCTACACAGAAAATTGGTAATTATTATGATTTCTTTGAGAATTTTTTCCATTTTTTTCATCATTCAATATCATTCTTATTGTTAAATTATGTATTATATTTTTGTTGGGTATAGTAGTAATATATTGTTATAATTTTAGGTCAAACATGGACAGAGAATGATGTGTTAGCCAGTAAAAGGAAACCTGAAGATGATTGTGATGATGTTGAAAATGGTTAGTATCTTTACTGTACTAATTAGCTTTCTATATGTATTTTTATCAATTTTCCTCTCCATATAGGTTAAGTTATATTATATTTCCTGCAAGTGTGAGATAAAAGTCTTCAATTCATGCTAAATTCCTTAAATAAACTTGACCTGATTTAAAGTTTGGCATTTTCCCATTATCAATTTTGTTGGTATCAAGATAGAAAAGTTTGAAGTTGGTCAGCCAACTGTATCGTATCTTGTCCGACGGCACATACACATTGGCTGGCTTGAAACTGTATAGGTTTAAAGCTTCTGGATCAAGTTTTCAAAGAGTTTATGATAATTAGACAACAACTTTAACTTGTAAGTATAGTTTACAGAAATGTGCAGTTCTTGTACTTCAATACATGTATAGTGTAAATGTATGGATACCCATCAATAATTTGGTTGAAAGTAATGTCTAAAGGAATATTGTGTCCACTCTCTCCCCCCCCCCTCCTCATTACCGCAATTGCTGTTTAAAGTGATTAAGGTGGTGAAGTTTATCAGTCATTGGTTGAGAGTGTCAGGGTATGGATTTAGTTAAATGTTTATACATGTATGTAAATATATGACAGTGATATTGAAACTGCCTGGCGTATACAAATTAGATTTACGATACATGTATATATGTGCATGAAAATTACTTTATGTAAATTTGTGTTAGTTCTCTGCTTTATATGTTTCTCTATGTAGACATGCTGTATAGTGCAGACATAGATAAGGGTATGTTATCACGCAATGAACTATGTTTGAGTATGCTGTCACAGTTTTGTTGTTGTGAAAATCACAACTTTTTTCTTCACATTACCACAGTTTAAGATGCAGTTGGCGTGTATTTCAAGACTATTTCATTATCTCATATTCAAAGATGAAGAATTGAAATAAATCATGTCACAATTTTTTATGCATGAGCGTTGATTGATAAAAAGGGGACACACCATCTTCATCCATGAAGTAGAGCTATCATATTTATTTGAACTCAACATGTCTCTTCATATAAGCATCATTTTCACATTTTGAAATATGACTTTGACCAATAATTTTCAATTTTCATAAAATTTCACCATAACTTGCATATGCACAGATTATTGGCAGGGTTTATTTTTTTTTACAGACACATATTATCAAAAAACATAATTGTATTTTCAAATACAATTGCTGTATGTTTTTCCCATGTTATGGATAGGTTTAAGTGTAATGGAATATGGTGTGTTAAGATCAGCTGTTCATAAGTTATAATGATAAATAGTCATAATGACCATCAGCTGAGAAAGCAAACTTAACAAATTGATAAGAAATACCACTTTTCTCCATATTTTTTTGTGATAAGACATATTTTAAACCCTATTTACAATGATGTATTTTTCATTTTCAATATTAGTATGTGATAGGTAAATACTGTTTCTTTCAGAAATGAACCACAACATGTTTGGAAAGTTTCATTTTGTGGATCTAGCAGGGTCAGAAAGGGCACACAAAACTGGTAATGTTGGGGACAGATTTAAAGGTAAGTTAATAAAAAAAGCTAGAAATTTAGTAAACCTTTAAAATAAGTAAACTCTTTTTAAAATTTTTTCAAAATTAGATAACTATCTGATACAAAGTTTATTATGATTTTTGTTGTATTTTTGTGTATTGAGTAATTAGGGTCTTATAATTATACATGTTTGTAATAGTGGATTTTCATCAGATACTCCAAGCTCTGTATTCACAAAGAAAAGGTTAGGATCAGGATCAAACTATTCTGATTTTAATGAAACTTACATCCATTAAATTAAGCTAACATAATAATGGTACATAAACAATTGCTGACTTGAAAAGAAACAATCATATTTTTTGTTAAAATTTTGGAATAACACATTATAATGGTACATAAGCAATTGCTGACTTGAAAAGAAACAATCATATTTTTTGGTAAAATTTTGGAACAACAATACATATATTTTTAACTGAATCAGATCGTGTATCCTAAATATATATGTTTACCTTGGTCAAAATTTACAGCTTGAAATACTCAATTCTTCTTTTAAAACTACAGTACTGTTAAACATATTTGAGCTATTGGTAAGGCTTGCTTATATTTGTCATTTCAGAATCTGTACATATAAACTCAGGTTTGTTGGCACTAGGTAATGTTATAAGTGCTTTAGGAGACCCAAAGAAGAAATCAACACATATCCCTTACAGAGAATCCAAAATTACCAGATTGCTCAAGGTATGTTCATGTTTATAGTGTTATTCGTAGTGATTAACAATGAATTATAAAATTTTTCTTCATGGCATTTTTTGTCAAAATTATGAAGGGGCCTGGGCCTGTTCATTCTGTGAAAAAAAGAGTAATACGTCATAAAATTGTGAAAAAATGACATAATATTTGCCATTTTGCGAAATTTTGAAATAGGAAACTATGTGCGATGTAAACTGTTTACATGTTTGCAATTGGTGAAAATCATGTTTTGCAGGAAGGTAAACAATTAATTTGGAAGACAAAGCTAAAATTTGGTGAAATCTCTTCAAATTGTGAATTTTTTTTCCACAGGTTTGTGAAATAAAGTGCAATTTTGAATTGTGAAGGGACCAACATCAGCCCTTATTATAGAATGAAAAAATGCTTTGTTTCTTACTGTTAATGAAAGAGAGAGAAATACATGATAATCAGAGCATTTATTGATTAATGCTGTATGCTAAAAGTAGCATGTATTTTTTTATGTCATTTAAGCATATTTTCTACATTATTTGAATAAATATCTCAGTATACATCAGTATTAGAATGGTAATTGAATAAATGTCTTACAGATAAATTATAATTTGATTTCTGATCCGGGTCATTAATTCAAGGTTTGTATAGCATAATCATGAGTGCCAAACCAATATATGTATGCCAATTTAGCTTTTTATGCCCCCACAATGTGGGAGCATATAGCGTTGCACTTGTCCGTCAGTAGTCCGTCCGTCAGTAACCCGAAATTCTTGTGAACGCAACTCCTCTTAACCGGATGGCAGATTTGCTTAAATTTACAGGGATGAACAACCTTAATGTGTAGATGGTAGTAAAGGGAAGGAATTTTTGCTGCGACCCAAATTTAATAGAATTATGCGCCCTTTGTTGATTTTTTTCATGTTAGATACTATTGTAGAAATTTTGTGAACGCAACTCCTCTTAAACCGGGGTGGCAGATTTTGCTTAAACTTACAGGGATGAACAACCCTAATGTGTAGATGGTAGTAAGGAAAGAATTTTTGCTGCGACCAAATTTAACAGAATTATGGCCTTTGTTGATTTTTTTCACTATATACTATGTAGAAATTTTGTGAACGCAACTCCTCTTAAACCGGGTGGCAGATTTTGCTTAAACTTACAGGGATGAACAACCTTAAGTGTAGATGGTAGTAAAGGAAGGAATTTTCGCTGCGACCAAATTTTACAGAATTATGCCCTTTGTTTATTTTTTCACTATATACTATGTAGAAATTTTGTGAATGCAACTCCTCTTAAACCGAATGGCAGATTTTGCTTAAACTTCCAGGGATGAACAACCTTAATGTGTAGATGGCATTAAAGGAAGGAATTTTGCTGCAACCAAATTTTAACAGAATTATGGCCTTTGTTGATTTTTTCATTATATACTATGTAAATTTTGTGAACGCAACTCCTCTTAAACTGGATGGGCAGATTTTTGCCTTAAACTTCCCAGGGATTAACAACCTTAATGTGTAGATGGTAGTAAAGGAAGGAATTTTTGCTGCGACCAAAATTTAAAAGAATTATTTTCCTTTTTTTTGATTTTAGTTTTCAATTGTGGGACTTATTTCCCAAAAAAAATTTGGGCCTTTGATTTTAAATTGACAGAAAAGGGCATTGGGGCTCCGTGGCCTTTTGGACACATTTTTTCACTTTAAATGTTTTTGAGCTCACCTCTTAGGGGGCACTATAATTTGTGATAATTCAAACAATTCTTTCCCAAACTATGGAAAAGGGTTTTTTGTTTAAAATGTTTATTGTGGTTCCAAAGAAAAATTTTTTTGTCTTAGTTTCCAGGGTTATTGGGGGAGGAAAAACAAAAATGAAATGTTGTGGCAGGCCATCGACAGCAAAATTTTTTACGAAGGTTTTAAAAGCTCTAAATATCCAAAAAGGGTAGGGTTGGGCATTTTTAGTATTTTATCCCCTTGACTAATTTTTGATTTTAAAATATTTTTCAGTCCCCAAAAGTTTTAACCAGGCACGTTTTCACATCCTTTTAGTTCAAACCGGAATTTCAGATTGCCCTTGGGTGCCTATTTTTTATTTTTTTGTAATAAATCCCCAAAAAATTTTTAAAGGAACTTTTAAAAAAAAAATTGAAAGTTAGGTTTAAATTAAAATATTTCACCAGAGTAAAGGGGTAAGGGAAAAGACTTTTACTTTAAAATTAATTAAAATTTTACAAAATACACTGGAAAACTTAAAAAGTCATAGGTGTTGATTAAGAATTTCTTTAGATTTTATATCTTTAACTATACAGATTTAACTCCTTCCATTTCTGCATCCGTCTGTTACCTGCCAATAATCTTATTCATTCAGTTTGAATAGTTCTTGATATTTATTGTGGGTTGATATTTATTGTGTGTTGATAGTAAGGGACAAAAGATCTAAGTGGTTTGGAAGTGTGTCTATTTTAGGTAAAGAATGATTTTTTACGGGGATCCGAGGTTTAAGACCCTGTCCGGATGCACATTTTTATCTCAACTTTCCCTTTTTTTGCAAAAAAATGCAACTGAGATTTGAGTCGTGAACATTTAGGAACTAGTTGCTTTGTCCACTCAACACTATTTGATATCAATTTTACACTGAATGTTAGGATGAAATATTTTTTTTCTTTATTAAATTTAAGGCAAGAAACATCAAGAATCTTCCAATAGTGAATAGAGATATCCAGTCTATAAGGTTTGAAGAAATGCAGACAGAAATCAAGGTAAGTCAGGCTTATTTTAAAGTACTTCTTTCTACATTTTTTTTACAAAAGCCCAACTTACAAGGGGGTAGGAAAAATTTTTAGAATTTTTAAAAATTTCACTAGTTTTTTTGTAAAATTTTTTCTTTATTTCACATTTTATTTCAGTAGGAAAAAGATTTTTTTGTCATATTTAATTTCTTTTTGCGGGGAAAAATTTTTAATCAATTGAAGGGAAAAATAATTATTATTTAATATTAAGACTTTTTTTATAAAAAATTTTAATTTTCTTTTTTATTTTTGTGTTTTACACTGGTTGGCCCTTTTTTTTTTTTGGCCCAACCTGGAAATTTTAAATATAAATGAGGTATATTTTTTAAATTTTTTAATTTTGTTAGATAAAACTTGTTTTAAATCCCTTTTTTTGCGGGAAAAAAAGTTTGATTTGTGAAATATTTGTAGTATTTTATTGTTAAATATGAATCCAAAGGAATTTGCCAAAAAAATTCTTTTTGGAATCTTTTTTTTGGACTAAAGTGTAAAACATAGAAATTTGGCTTTTTTTTATCGTCCTTGAAACATATTTTTTTATGATATCGGAAAACAAACAAAATATCCTGTTTGCATTGCAACTTGTATTATGATATGTTTCAGGCATTAAGGGAGGAGCTTGCTCGTCAGAGAACCACAGTAACGAGGGGTAATACAGTCTGGGAGAATGATCCTGACCTAGCAGCAAAATATGTTGGTCAGATCAAACAACTTGAGGAACAAGTTGCCAGGTTAATAGTTTTTACAAACTGAAACTTTATCTACTGACATTGTTAAATGTTTGGGTACTTCCTTAGGATTGTAAACTAGTCATTGTTAATTTCGAGAATGAAAATCAATATACTAGTACTAATATAAGAGTATGAGGTTTTGTCGGACTGCACTATGCTAATTTGTGTATCTAGTGCCACCTATAAACATAGTAGACTGGCCTTTATGTTATTGTCTTTGATCATTAACTTTAAACTTTGTTGGGCATGATTACTTTAAAATAAAAATGAAATGGTCAATACCAGTAAAATTATTCAGTTTGATCATGTCCTTTTCGTCCTTACAAATTAATTGATATGTGAATAGTGTTTTGGTATGCAAGGGAATCACACTACATCATATGAGGGGAGCAGTGGCCTAGTGGTTAAGGTGTCTGCCTCTCAACCCATGGATCATGGGTTTGAGCCCTATCGATCACAACCATGTTTCTGCATATGACACCAGTACTGGTTGGTTTTAGAAAGCAGACTTTAAAGTGATTAATAAAAGTTGCAAGAACTTTGAATCGCAATCGAGCTGAAATAAATATGTTTAAACTAAACATCATACAAAGTGCTTTTATTAAAGTTCATATTCATACTATTCAGGTTACAGACAGAGTGTGGTAACTACAAGATGATTGCGGAAGAGGCATACAGACAGTTTGTACAGATACAAGGGAAAAATATCTTGTCTCAAAGTCAAGATGGCAGACTTAAAGACTGGCTGGATCTCATGGAAGAGGTAAATACTGAAAATATTCATGAACATTTTGTCTTCATGTGAGAATTATTTGAACTGCATGATATAACTTTCATTTTGCACTGGATTTTATTGATTCATGCATTACCTTCTTTAACTGGCTGAATTGAAGATCATACGAGAATGCCACTGCTGGGTATATTTTTCTGAAGTACAAAATGGGGGATGTTTGCCAATTTTCCTCCCAAGACTTGATTTTGTTGTACATAAATTTGATTCAAAAATGTAGAGATAAATATGAATACATGCCCAATGTTAATCAATTTTGATAGTCTTTAAATACAAAATTAAATTTTAAGATAATATCTATTCTGTTTACGTTGAGTGACTTGAATGTATATGCTCAGATTGTCATGAAACTTTGCTGCAGTATTATCTTGCACCTACAGATAGGTCTGCCAAGTTTCATCAGCTTAGACGATTGTAAAATAATGTAGATTATGGCTTCAAGAAAAGAAAGCATTTTTAAATAAATGAATAATTCTACACTTTCTAAGTGTAGATTATTGTATATCATTTAAGAATGAAAATTTCAGCAATACATCATTATTTATGTAATCATTTCTATTTTTATCTATTTAGAGATTGGGATCACTTTTTCAATTGTTCTGAATTCTAAAACATGCAATTTAACCCTTAACCTGCTGGAATCAAAGGTCGCAAACTTTTGCCTCCAGTTCAAAGCCCGGCAATCCTGCACTTCCTAGCAGTCTGATCCAGCTCTTTACTGTTGGTAGCTCAGTTTTTATGCCCCCACTTGGATTGGCATTTAGATTTGCCCTTGTCTGTCCCACTCTCCATCTGTGGGCGTCCTTGGCCAAGTGGTTAAGGTCGTTGACTTCAAACCACTTGCCCCTCACCGCTGTGGGTTCGAATCCTGACAGGGACTTTGGATTCTTTCATGTGAGGAAGCTATCAAGCTAGCTTACAGAATGTTGATGGTTCTACTTAGGTGCCTTGTGCCTGAAATAATTCACAGAAGGGCACCTGAGGTCTTCCTCCACCAGTAAAAACTGAAACGTCGCGATATGACCTATACTGTGTCGATGTGACGTAAAACGCAAAACAAACAAAACTCTCCATCTGTGGATGATTGTTTCATTTGTGGATGACTGATCCATCTGTGGACTGATCCACCTGTAGACTGATCCATCTGTAGACTGATCTATCTGCAGCCTGATCCATCTGTGGCCTCATACATCTGTAGTTTGATCAATCTGTGGACTGATCAATCTGTGGACTGGTCCATCTGTGGACTGATCCATCTGTAGACTGATCCATCTGTAGACTGATCCATCAATGGACTGATCAATCTGTGGACTGATCAATATGTAGCCAGTTCCATCTGTAAACTGGTCCATCTGTAGACTGATTCATGTGTAGACTGATCCATCTGTAGCCTGATCAATCTGTGGACTGATCCATCTGTGGACTGATCCATCTGTGGACTGATCCATCTGTGGACTGATCAATCTGTGGACTGGTCCATCTGTGGACTGATCCATCGGTGGACTGATCCATCGGTGGACTGATCAATCTGTGGACTGATCAGTATGTAGCCAGTTCCATCTGTAAACTGATTCATCTGTAGCCTGATCCATGTGTAGCCTGATCCATCTGTAGCCTGATCCATATGTGGACTGATCCATCTGTAGACTGACAAAACAGTTGAATGTAGGGGCATCAATGTCCTGTGGACACATTTTTAATTGAATTTTGATATTGATATCCCTTAAATTTTAAATGGACTGTTCCAAAGTCAAAGCTGGACAATTCCATTACACAAATTCAGCAGGTTAAGGGTTAAGTTTTTGTCAGTAGACAAACTTTGTATGATAAACTCCCTTTAAGTTAATCTGCTGTATTAAATATAAGACCTGTGTGATTTTAGCACATGGATATGTCACAGTTGCATGGATCTGTTGAGGTAACTTGTATTGATTGTGCACACTCAACTGTCTTGTTGTGTTTGTTTTACAGATGGTTCATATTGAAATTGTCTTTTATTGAGATGTTGCTTTATGGTTTTTAATCTGGAGTTTGAAATATTTGTTCATGACTTTAACAGAATTAGCTTGAGCATTTTGCTAAATTCATGATATTGTAAAACAAAGTCTCTAAGTTTAGATCAGAATAAATTTCTATTTTCTTTCTTTTTATTCCTCTGACACCTAGCATATGTTATATATGCTAGTGATTTTTTATAACATGAAGAAAATAGATTAAGTAATATATACATGTTTGTAAATACATTTGTATACAATTGTTTAACAAATCTAACAGAAATTGATAAAAAAATGTATGTTAGTCTATTTTTTGCAATAACAAATCACTTTGTACAAGACTTGTTTCATATTTGTGATTTTCTGTTGTCTTTGCTTTGATTTGTTTCTAATTTTGCTTGTTTTTAATGGGAAAAGGTTTACACAGCAAATATAAGATACCATTTTGTTTTTACCATATTGAGGTATAGGTTTACCCTGGAATTATTTCCGCTAGCTTACTTATTCATGTGTTGGTCTATATATAGACATTGCACAAAATAGATAACTACCTACTTAACACAAAGCTGCCATCTGATTTTGTTTCTCCACCTATTATTGAGATATTGCCCCATTCAGCAAATTAATTTGAAGCACTTAGGCTCCCTGGTTCTGAACTATTGCCAGATACTTGATGCATTATTTTTTTTATTGTTTCTTAATACATATCAAACTACTGTTTGTCACATTTTTACAGTTTAGATATTTTCAATAGAACATTTTAATTTTGTAAAACATCAAGGCAAGTTAAATTGTAAGGCTATAACATTAACTCAAATACTCTGATATTTGCATTTCTGACCATAATAGTTAAAATTGGGTATTTGTGAGTCCTAAGATGGTTGGATGGTGATTCACACCTATATTTATAAGGAATTCTAATAACTCTTTAATTATTGAATAAAACTTTCAGAAACAGGATCATTTCACTGTTTAACTTTGTCTTGTTTACATTTCACATACATTTACCCTGTACTCAAACATTTATTTTCAGCTAAACTTTAATTCTTAATATTGCTATAGGAAGTAATGTAGAAATTATTGGCAAAATATTCATGTAACTAGCTATTTTATGTTTATACATGTATTATAAGAACATCAATATAATTATGTCACATGATGGGTGTTGTTATAGGACAGAGACTTTCATATTATTTTTCCTACTCATGATGTGAAGTGTATGCCAAGTTTCACTAATGGAATGGTAATCAATTTTAAACTATGTCAAAGTTACTGAATATTTACTGTTACAATATTATATATATTAAAAAAATCTTTTCTTCAGATAAAGTGTAAAGTTCCTCAAAAGTTGAACAAGGAAGAGTGGGAAAGTCAAACAGTTAAAGATCTACAGAAAGAGTTGAAGAAGGTAAGACAATAGTACATAAAATTAAAAGTGATGAGTCAAGGCTTGTAAGTAAGTGAACTATAGAACAATAACCAAGTAGTGACACAGAGGTTGTGATGTCTGTTATCAACTCAGAGTTTGTTGGTTTAAGACCAAAGGATGTTATAATACACATACTAATAAAATAAAACTGATAAGTCATGAATAGATTTAAGAACGATTTATTAAACTAGATTATAGCTTTCAGTACTATTGTATTTTGATATGTTTATCATAAAATGTTAGACATATTAAAGATTATACAGTCTAACTTGCCCATGCGGCCACGTGTATTAAGCGACTTTTGTCTTAAACGACCATTTTAAATTCCCCCCGATCATTTTCTCTCTATATCTTTAATGTATTAAGCGACTATTGCTCAACGCGACCAGCGACCGCTAATTAGTCACCTAATTGAGATAAATCTTTTCATTAAACGACCACTTTTACCTGTCAAGTAATTGTGTTTTTAGAGAACGCCACCTCGTAATGTCACAAGTGTCAACAATCAAAACACAACAAATAAACGTGTGAAAAACTCTATTTCCCAAACCGTTTTAGCGTATGCAAATGAAGTTAAGTATAAGCATGACGTGTATTATCCAATAATATCGGATAAACAATGCAAGGCCACGCCCCTACTGAGATGGTGTATACGCTTCGCTTGTTGACATTTAGACTGCATTGAATTGACCTTGAACTTGATCAGAAATTAAATTAATTGTAACAATTAGATGTAGTTTGTGTTTATTTCAAATGAAAAAAATGCACAACAGAAAACATCTTCACTAATAGGGGTTTCGTGTTGGAATGAAGGAAAATCAACGGAGATGGAAAAATGTCAAACAAGTACGTAATGGATCAAAACTGTTTTGTCAATAAATATCAGAAAGTTATTTTTTACATTTGCATCCATTTAGATTATCAGAGCCTACTTATTATTCAACATGTATATAAAAACGAAGTTGAAAAACATTCCCACCGCATAAGAAAGATGTCATTTATAAATTTTGACTTTTATATCATGCTGACTGTCTTAAGAGACCATTTCATTATGCGACCGTTTTGGGTGTTTCCTTTGCGCGGTCGCTTAATACACGTTTGACTGTAATAGGGTGATTGTGACAAGGTGGTTACGTTCACTGATTTTGAATAACTACGCCTTCATGATTATGTCTTTGAATCCCAACAAGGACTTTGGATTCTTTTATGTGAGAATGTTACCCAGCTTGCACATGGAAATGGGATGGTTCTACTAGGATTGCAGGTTGTGCCTGGAATAATGAGTCTTTCCACATGTAAGGCTTAAATGTGGCCATATGACATGTACAGTGTTAGTCAACTTAAAAAAAAAAACAACAGTAAATAAAAGATAATAAAAAAATTGTCATTATTACAATTTAAAGGCCAAAGTATTGTAGAGGTGTAAATAATGAATTAATTTTTAATTTTCAGGCAAAAGAAGATTTGAAGAGTGATGAAGATATATTTGCTGAGAAAGCAAGGGAAGTAACTGCATTGAAAGCTAGACTTGAAGAAATGGTAGGTGACATCTGTTCTATACTGTTCTATTGGGACAGAATTTAAGAAAGATTTTTAGTGTTACAGTACTTAATATTTTTCTGTTTGATGAAACATAAATAGATAGTAAAGAGTATTTCTTACCTGGTCTTGTGTCTTTATTATAATGATATATATGCAAAACGTAAATAGGAAATGATGTTGTTACATAACATATAAATGGCAAAAAGATGTCACTTTCACAAGAATTTGAACGTAGATCTCTTGATAGCATGAAATAATTGTCTCACGAATTCTTAGGTACATGTTAACTATGATTTTGTTTGTATGATTTTTGAGATCATAAATTAAGTCACAGGGCACTGATTTCTGAAAGTAAATTTTTGACATAAACTATAGGAGTCTATGTTAGAAGAGAGGGAGAAGATGATGTCCGGGAACGATGAAAAGTTACAGCAACAGGAACAGCAGCTTATAGAACAAAATATGAAGATAGAAGAACTGCAGAAAGCTCTAAAGGTATTTCTTTGTTATTACCAATTATATTTGTGTGTGACCGATTGACTCCTGGTTTCTTTGAAGTTATATGTATTGCTTAAAGAAGTTGTAACAAAAACTGACCTTAGTATTTTTGTCATAATACCACTTAGTAAAATTATAAGGGTTTTTAGCTCGACTATTCGTAGAATAATCGAGCTAATGCAGTCACCCATTTGTCGGCGTCGGCGTCGGCGTCCCTGTGGTTAAGTTTTTGTATGTAAGCTGGTATCTCCATAACTACTGAAGGGAATGGATTGAAACTTCACACACTTGTTCTCTGTGATTATCTAAGATGATTGGCACAAGTCCCATAACTCTGATTTGCTTTTTTACATAATTATGCCCCTTTTTCGACTTAGAAATTCTTGGTTAAGTTTTTGTATGTAAGCTGGTATCTCCATAACTACTGAAGGGAATGGATTGAAACTTCACACACTTGTTCTCTGTGATTATCTAAGATGATTGGCACAAGTCCCATAACTCTGATTTGCTTTTTTACATAATTATTCCCCTTTTTCGACTTAGAAATTCTTGGTTAAGTTTTTGTATGTAAGCTGGTATCTCCATAACTACTGAAGGGAATGGATTGAAACTTCAAACACTTGTTCTCTGTGATTATCTAAGATGATTGGCACAAGTCCCATAACTCTGATTTTCTTTTTTACATAATTATGCCCCTTTTTTGACTTAGAAATTCTTGGTTAAGTTTTTGTATGTAAGCTGGTATCTCCATAACTACTGAAGGGAATGGATTGAAACTTCACACACTTGTTCTCTGTGATTATCTTAGATGATTGGCACAAGTCCCATAACTCTGATTTGCTTTTTTACATAATTATGCCCCTTTTTCGACTTAGAAATTCTTGGTTAAGTTTTTGTATGTTAGCTGGTATCTCCATAACTACTGAAGGGAATGGATTGAAACTTCACACACTTGTTCTCTGTGATTATCTAAGATGATTGGCACAAGTCCCATAACTATTATTTGCTTTTTTACATAATTATGCCCCTTGACTTAGAAATTCTTGGTTAAGTTTTTGTGTGTAAGCTGGTATCTCCATAACTACTGAAGGGAATGGATTGAAACTTCACACACTTGGTCTCTGTGATTACCTAAGATGATTGGCACAAGTCCCATAACTCTGATTTGCTTTTTTGCATAATTATGCCCCTTTTTTATCTTAGAAATTCTTTGTTAAGTTTTTGCGTGTAAGCTGGTATCTCCATAACTACTGAAGGGAATGGATTGAAACTTCACACACTTGATCTCTGTGATTATCTAAGATGATTGGCACAAGTCCCATATTTCTGATTTACTTTTTCGCATAATTATTCCCCTTTTTTGATTCATAAATTCGTGGTTAAGTTTTTGTGTGTAAGCTGGTATCTCCATAACTACTGAAGGGAATGGATTGAAACTTCACACACTTGTTCTCTGTGATTGTATTGAAACTTGAAGGGTTTGTACCTTTTCGTACAATTTTATGTATTCATATAGGTAAGCATTATTATACTCAATGAAACACCCTTGTGACAAATTTTCGAATAGTCGAGCGTTACTGTCCTCCGACAGTTCTTGTTATGTATGATATAGTTAAGCAGTGTTTTTTATCACTTTGAACTCTACACAGGGTTTGGTTATATCTTGGCAGTCAGACCATGTAACCAGCTTGGATAACTTACCAGTTATTTTTGGATATCTCTGAATGTGATCACATGATGTCTTGAGTGGGCATATACTTTTCTTTATGTAAAATTTTAAGTAAAGTTTTCTGTAATCTCTTGAACATCAGTATCTATATGGCTCAAAATTTACATAATATAACCATGTTTATTGATTTGATCTATTTTGTTGTTGGGGAGACAAACTTCTCAAATAACTTGCTCTTGAATATTTAATCTAATGGTCATTTGCCTCTTGCCAATGATTAAGAAATTATGTGAAATAAGGAATGAAATTAAAAAATAACTGGTTAGTTATCAAGGAAAGCTGGCTACATTGACTGACTGCCCAAGATATGACCATAAATTTGTTAAAACCAGTTTACAAAAAAACACATGAACAAGAAATGCATGGAAATCATCTTACACCAGCCCTGAATGTAGTTGAACAATTTTGTATGAATGAAAATTAAAAAAATATATATCAGTTTCAGTCTCTATAAATGTGAAAATGTGATTGAACTTTTAAAAGTATGGATGAAAATGTGAAATTTAAGTCTCTGTAATTGTGAAATTGTGATTGAATTTAGTGTGTATAAAAATTTGAAAATAATAGTCTTAGTCTCTAGAAATGTGAATTTGTGAAGTATGAATAAAAATGCAAAAATATCAGTCTTTGTGTCTGAAAATGTTTATTGAATTTGTGAGAGTATCAATATGAATGAGTAATTGACTTTCTTCCTTTCTTAGTCACTTTAAATGTGAAATTTTAACTAAAAATTAGTAAAGCGTGAATAAAAATTGAAAAATATGATTAATTTAGGAATCTGCTCTTACAACAAGAACAGTAGATACACAATTTACACAGGTTAGAGGAAGTTGGGTGTTTATTATTGCTGTTTGTTACACTTATAAGGTTTGCTGTTGCTAAAGGGTACTGTTGTTAAGGGATACTGTTGCTATGGGGTACTGTAGTTAAGGGGCACTGTTTCTAAGGGATTCTGTTGCTACATGGGTACTGTTGCTAAGGGATACTGTTGCTATGGGGCTCTGTTGTTATGGGGCACGTTTGCTAAGGGATACTGTTGCTAAGGGATACTTTTGCTATAGGGGTACTGATATCTAGGGCCAGGGTCATATCATACTTTTATTCTGGATTACTTATTTCTGGTTCATACAAGTTTTTGGTGTGATTTTACAGTTTTTGTTCACTTTTGATTTAGTGTTATGGGGGTTGAGTTAGACCATTTTGCCCAAAAAGGAAAGCATTGGATTTGTATATTCCAGGGGTCACTGGCTGCTTTTAAATTTGATAAATATTTTAAATAAAAATGCAATCAGTGACTGATTTGTTTTAATATTTATCCTGATGAAGGCATGAGCCAAAACTTTGATAAAAAAATCTACATTCACATGTTGTTGTTGATTTCTCTATCATAAGTATTTTAAATAAAAGGATTAAGGGCTTCGTGAAAATGTGTTAACTATCAATTTTCAGATTTAGGTCTTTGAATTTAATAGATATATTATTGTTTGTTTTTTCTTTGATATAAGTGCTGTTTTGAGTTGGTTGTGATTTTTATGCAAGAAATTATCTATAGACATTTTACATTTTATTTTATTTTTTGCATTTACAAGCTTAATTATTTACCTGTTAAGAATCCTGTAAAGTTTTATGCAGAACATATAAAACACGATTCCAAATTAAGAAATTCACGAGAGAAAAATACATTCATATATCCGTATTTCATAAAACAAACAACAGAGTTTTTTCTTCAAAATTTGACGTCCCTTTTTCTGATTGTAGTAAAAATTTCAACATTGTAAAACTGTGATTTTATTTTGTTTCTTTTGAAATATGAACAGTTTGAATTTAAGGACGAGGTAAGATTAAGGCAGGGTATTTTTGGTATTTTTCTAACCATTTCATAACACACTTTTCTTGCACTAAAAACAAAATGATCAACTTGACTAGATAGTTTTTTTAGTTAATATTGCCTGGCCACCATTCATTTTAGCATGTTTTATTAATGTTTTGTGTTTAAAATTATGGAAATAATTGATAGGTCAGTATTTTTGATGTGAGTCAAAATTTCTGTATAGGTAAGCATTTTAAACAATGTTGTTTAATCTTATACAAGGGCTGCCCCAATAAGAGAGGGGTGTTCATGGCAAAGTGGTTAAGGTCGTTGACTTCACACCACTTGCCCCTCACCATTGTGGGTTCGAATCCTGACAGGGTCTTTGGATTCTTTCATATGAGGAAATTATCCAGCTAGCTTACGGAATGTCAGTGGTTCTACTCAGGTGCCCGTTCGCGCCTGAAATAATGCACTGAAAGGCACCTGAGGTCTTCCTCCATAAGTAAAGCTGGAAGGTTGCCAAATGACCTATACTGTGTCGGTGTGACATAAAACCCAATCAAACAAACAAACAAAACAAAAGCCCCAATAAGACAACAGGGTTTAAATTCGAAATACTCAAAAGGACTTCTAAAATTGTTACTGGTAATTAATAAACCATTACTGAGCAAACATGCAAAACAAACAAGCATGATATCATTTTATTTGATTATACAGAACAAATTATAAGTTTACCATACTTTGAAACTGTATAAAAAATATGAATGTTTGGGGTCCATTACAATATGCATAAACATGTATGTAAATGGGGGTGGGGGAATTATGGGAATTCCTAGGAATTTACAGTCAATATTGCTGTTGTAAAGAAACTCAGCAGAGTATAGGAAGGTGTTTCTACCATGTGTCCATCTCTTGGTCATAATTGGCATTTAATTAAACTATTTTAGTTTCTGATTATTTATTAAGATGCATAGATAGATTGGTATAATTTATATTTTTAAGTTACCTGCACTAAATTGTATTTGATTTTTATATGTTTTTGAATTTCATTCTTTTATGCATGGTTCAGTGATAAACTTTATTTACAGACATTCTTTTTTTTGTCCATGCTGTTATTGTATCAATAATGCTCACTAGTTCGAGAGAATATATTTTATGAACATTTTGAATTAAATTTGATATACAGTAAATTTCTGTTTTAATAGATTCAACATATAAGATATTAAGATTTATGATATGTGAAGTATTGGAAGTCCCAACAATACTGGTTGGAGACCACCAAAACCGGACAACCACCAAACCCGGATGGCTCCAAAAATGCTTAATTTATTTTTTTTCCTTTGTTCATTGGTTGTCGATCTATCATTCACTTTTTTAACAACAATAAATGCATGTTTCTTCCTAAATTAAGTAATTAATAATTAAGTAACAGCTATTATCATTTGCAGAGTAAACAGTAAACTGCTGAAATGTTGTTAATCATGTTAAAAATAAAAAATTAAAACACCCAAGCATTTATATGAATTAAAAAACATCATGTACATATCTGTCCGGACACAAGGTACTGAAGTGTAGACAATTTAGATAATTTTGATACCCTCCGTGACGTGCCTCAGATATAAGTGACAATAAAATCAGAAATAGTCAAACTAGTTTGTTAGTTAGGAGAAGAACCTAGATGTACTGTGTCAAATTTTCAGGCCTCTAGGTTTGAAATTATGAAATCTTGATGGAAAAATGTTCAAAAAGTGTCTGGTTGATGGTCCCTGACCAGTAGGTGTTTAGCAATACCATTATGTTAACTTCCATTCCATTAACATTTATTCCATATGTTGCTCTTATTAATGTGCTTATTTTATGGAATTTAACAGAACATCTGAATATTCTGTTTTCTATATCTCTCTAAAATACTTTAGTTCATTAATTTAATTAGCTGGTGAAAGAAAAGCTGAATTAACATAATACTCTGTTGCAAATAATTTTCATACTGGTTTCTTCTGTAAAAATTAGAAAGACCAATATATGATATTTACATTTGTGAGGACGTTATCGTGAGTACACAAGGCGTTTGTACTGTTCGTTTCCTTTATTAACAACGTATATTTATACACATGGAAAGTAACATAATGTTAATGACATAAACACACTAGACTAATACGCTACATCTACATATGTGAGGAGGTGATCTTGAGTTGACAAGACATTGTGAACAGTTTGTTTCCTTTATAAACACTGAATGTTTATACACATCTGAAACAATGTAAGGTTAACAAATATTTCAAGCAAAAGTGGCATTACATGACGTCATGCTAAATCTAAAACAATATAATAAAAGAATCGTTCTTGATGAATGGATAAAAAATTGATTTGTTATTTTAAGGTTTTAAAATATTCGACATGCAACTTCTCTTTTGCATATTATTATCAGTATCATATCAGTATCATATTATTGTATCTACTTTTAGATTATATAAGGACTAATATGCAACATCCTTATTACTTTAGAAACGGAATAATAATAGGGAACACACAGCATAGCTGTCTGTTGATGAAGTAATTTGTCATAATATAAAGCAGTAAATGTTTAACAGTATTGAATATCTGTTACATAAATATGGTTTATTTTATAGGATTTAAATGCACCAGGATGTCCTTTTCCTGATTTACCATTGTTTCGTTTGTTCCAATTATTAAACAACATTTTCTTCAGCTGTGCAAAGTTTGCTTTAATTTCAGTGTAATAATCTACTATAATTTTCATTATATCTTTAATTGTTGCATTTATTGCGTCATTTGTTCAAAATTTCCTTTAATGTTAAGTTTTCAAATTTTGTTTCTTCAGGTAACATTGATAGGTGACAGCACAAACCTGAGTGAAGGTCAGGTGACAGCCAGTGCTCCTGTCACATCACGTCAGCCAAGACCTAAGTCTGTTCCAATACATTTACATAAACACGCTGATATGGTAAGTAAATCTGACCTATTTTGATTGCCATACATTTGTATATCCACACATAATATATATGTTGTGTAAAAACTTTACCAAAGTCTGTGTTTCATTACATTTGCATTAACATTCAGATATTGTGTGTGAATCTAGATCTAAGTTTGTTCATAATCATTAACAAAGCACACTCAGATACAGTGAGTTAATATAGAGCTTTGTTTGTTCCCATACATTAGCATAAACAATAAGATATATACACTGATTTGTGGAGTAAATCTGTTCCTATACTTCTAGATAAACACTAATTGATGGTGAAAAAATTTAGATCTTAGTTTGGTTCTTTAATGCCATTACTTTATTGAAGGCTAAAAATTATAGCTTGATATAATTTGTGCATAATATTGGTAAGCAGATTATGAATATTTTATCTATTGCAGCGATATTCACAGTTACGGCCACCATCACGCAATATTAAGACAAGTCCAGCGTTGTTTACACTTGAACGAGTGATGAAGAGTTTTCGTGCTCGCAGTCAGTTGCTAGTGTCGAGACTCGAGGACGGGGATGAAGTTTTACATCTAGACTTTAGTGATGGAGAAGATAATACTCAGAATGTGGACAGTGATGGTGATGAAATGAGGTATGTATACCGTCCAACCTGTCTTAAACAACCAGTCAAGGGAAATTATGAAATTTATTTTATTTTGTATTCCAGCGATGCTTATTGAAATTTCACACTTGTCTGGCAAGATTTGATGTGCCTGTTTAATGCATGTAAAATATGATGGGATGATATTAACTGGCCTTTGACAGAGTTTCTAAGGTTACCATTTAATCAAGAGCAAATAAAGAATGATTTCCATTTAGGGGAATAAAAATGACCGTCAACACCAGGTGACTGCTTGTTACAGGTGTCCATAAGGCCAGATTAGACTGTACTTGTCAGGAGATGTAGTTCTTATGTACCATTTAATTTCTGTAGCAATGAAAATTTATATTTTGAAAATTATTTTAAAAATATTATTAGTCTTTAATCTGCTGAATTTGTGTATTAACCTTTCTATGCAAGAATCCATTAGAAAATTTAGCATCAAAATACAAAAAATTAACTACCAACAGTATAGAGCCTAGTTAGACTGGCTGAGACTGCAAGGTGTACAGATTGGCCTGGCTGTATACTGGTGTTAGAGGCTAATTACTTTTGGTTGCAACAGGTTTAGGCTTAATCTTGTGATGAAGAAACTTCTGGGCAGGGTGGTTAATGTTATTGACTTGGAATCACTTTTTCCTCGTCACTTTGGTTTAAAACCTCAACAAGATAATGATAGAATATGACCTTAATAGGTTGATATGATTTGAAATCCAAGGAAAAAAATGTATCAATGATATAGTTATGAAAGATTTTAGTTATTTCGTAGTCTGTGACTAGAAAAAACAGTTTCTTAAAAATTTTATACATTTTTATATGTTTAAGTGGACTGTTGATAATAATTGGTAGTTGAATTTTGCAGTATTTTTTAAAAATGTAATTTAAACATTTATAGAGCTAAAGATACCAGACGGTAATATTTTATATTAAGTTATGACTTGTCTGGTTTGAATCCCCATCTCCTCCTTCACCTGATTGTGTTATATTTCACACAAGTAAATAACAAAACTATTGATTTGATAAAGCCCTATTAGAAGCATGAAATTTGATTGATATGGTCTTGTTAAAAGAAAAATTTGTAAAGATGTATAGTCAAATTGATCTTATTATTCATATACATGTAATATTTTATTTTGTTAAGATTAAGATTAGCTCAGATAAGTCTGAGTTTCAAGAGTCATATGCTCCAGTAACTTGGCAGTGTAAAATTGTGGCTTTCTGCCCATAGAAACAAAATTTGAGTCAAATGACCTTTAATCATTATGTATGTTGGTATTAACTGAAATAAAAATTAAACAAAGATTGTATTGTCAAAAAAGCTTTCACTCCTACCCTAACCTTTTCTTAATTGTTAAAATTTTGACTAATTAAACACACTATAACACAGTAAGAAATATTGAATGCCAGACACTGAAATAAAGGATTAACCAAGTTGATAATTATTTTTAAAGAGGAAAAGTAAAGACTATCAAACTGTAAGTATATTTACTTGAATTGAGCACAAAGTTGAATTGTTTTGCAGTTTATAAAATGGTGGAGAGGTAGATGACAAAGTTGTTTGTTTTTCTTCAAGTTTGATACACTTAAATCTTATTTTACCATATACATGTGATATCTTGGAGAGATTTTAAAAAAATGCCCATATTTCGACCCTGATCCCGATTTCTGATATTAGAGATTAAATTCCTGATATTTGTCTCTCAGTAAAAAAATGTCAACGTAGAAAATCTAAACTCAGCACATGTATATAAAGTAAACCTTATATTGATAATTTGATTGGCCCATTTTAGTTGTCACATGTATGTTTCCATCTTTATCATGACATCATTTCCTGTTATTTTGATAAGCAGTCATGCTCATGTACTGATGGAGATATAATGGCCAAATTTTTATATGATATCAAATTTTTTTAGGGGTTCATGTTGGTGTGGCTTTTTCATTGATCATGAATTAAAAAAAAAATTGTTGTTTTCTTTTTTAAACAGAAATGTGTTAGAACACATTTTTCAAAACATATTCTTAGTTAGAAGCTATCTGATTGAAATTAGCTTTTAAATAACACTGCAATAAAATGTTAGATGAGTAGAAACTTTAGTCAGATTTCGATTTTCTTAAAACTTGTTGTTAAGAACTTTTAAACTTTAAAAGTTATGCTGTTTTCCTTTTTATCCCTCATTTTCCAACATTTGTTTTGGCATAATGTTAGACTCAACAAATGCATATAAAATTAACAGTTTTCACCTGCAATTTGATTTATTTTGTTATTGATTGTTCAATTTTGCACAAGCCTGTTGATCATGCTTTGTTCCTATTTGCACTTTAACTAATACAATACTTGGATAGTGTCCGCTGTACATAGAATTTAATGTATTATGTAATTTTAATTAAATTTTATTACAAAATGAGATACCTTCAGCCTAAATGATACTAGAAGTTATTGTCATCTGTGACCTATTGGTTAAGGTCGTTGACTTCACACCCCTGTGGGTTCCAATCCTAACAGAGACTTTGTTCTTTCATGTGAGGATGCTATCCAGCTGGTTTACAGAACATTAGTGGTTCTACTTAGGTGCCTGCTCCAGCCATTTTGGGTTCCAATCCAAACAGAGACTTTGGATTCTTTGAAGTGAGGAAGCTATCCAGCTGGCTTACAGAACATTAGTGGTTCTATTCAGGTGTCCGTTTGTGCCTAAAATAATGCACAGAAGGGTACCAGAGGTTTTTCTCTTCCAGTAAAGCTGGAAAGTCGCCATAATCACCTATACTGTGTTGGTATGATGTAAAAAAATAATAATACATGTAATTCTAGAAGATTGCTTCCTGCAAAGGTAATTTTAGTAACTTATCTATTATCATTAATCCATACACTGCTAAATTTGTATAATGGACACGTCCTGCTTTGAATTTGGACTTGTCCATTAGTAATATGAGGAATTCTGATAACAACAGGCTAAAATTAAGCAGCCAAAATTATAGAGCGGGCCAGACTTTTGTGCAGTATAAAAGGTATCAAGCGACCCTTTTTTAATTTTGAAATTTAATGATATGTGTTGTTTTTTTAAATTTTAGAAATTTTTGCAAAAATTTTTAAAAAAAAACATTTTTAAAAAACCCTTTTAAACAGTCCAAAATTATAGAGTCTGGCCTTAGTTTTAAAAAAATTTTTATTTATTGTGGGGAAAATTTAAGACTAAGTTTTCACTTACCATGTTACATATGAGGAAACCTTGTAAGACTCGAACCCATTATCCCTAAATTGAAAGGCAGACACCTTAACCACTAGGCCACCGTTCCAACTAGCAAACAACCTTATGAATGGTTTTATTATCACATCTTTTGCTTTGTCAAGAATGATAATAGAAAACATTGTCATTTTAAAGTGAACAAAACTGTTTTAAATTTCCTTGTAGAAAGTGAAGGTGACCTTGATATACCTACAGACAGGATAGAGGTGGGACGATCTCAAGAAGTACAGAAGAAAATTAAACAAGCACAACTCAAGATGCTTGAATCCAACAAGAAAATTAGGGATCTAGCTATAAATATAAAGTAAGTGATACCATTGTTTAAAGCTTGGGATTTCAACCCTTACACTGCTGGAACCAAAAGTGTTCAGCCTTTGTCTCCAGTAATAGAGCCAGGCCAGCCATGCAACTTGACCAGGCTCTACACTGTTGACAGACTAACTTCAAATTTTCATCTTAATATCCCTAAAATTGATAATGGATAGTCCCGAAAATGGAAGCTGGCCAAGTCCATTTTACAAATTTAGCAGGTTAAGGGTTAAATAACAACATCTTATATTGATATATCTGATTATATGTTTTCATGAAATTATAATTAGTTTTGACGTATTAAATTTTTATCACACAAACTGTATGACAAGAATAATAGAATACTCTAGCATTAAAGAGAATGTGGCAAAGCCAGTATTCTTAAATGTGCTTTTGCTAGTTTAAACTTGAACATGATTGTAGAAATTTGATCAATGAGTAATGTTTCTTAGAGTTGAAACTATAAACATTTTGATATTTGGAAATTGCATATAATGTCAGAAGGAATTGTGCCTTATTTTATTTCAGATTGAAAGAACAACTGATCAGAGAGTTGGTGAAAACTGGTAAAGATGCTGAGCAAATGAATAAGCACTATGCTGGGAAAGTTGCTGCACTTGAAAAGGTAGGTCAGATTAATACCTTATGTAGCCTTTAGAGTTTGTACGGCATGTGTGCATCAAGTATTAAGGGTTACAGTACTTTAAAGTCAATTTTACACCAGTATTGGCATTGAGTCTATGCAAGAAAATTTTCTGGATTATTCCTTAATTTTTTACTTTCTTACACCTAAAATACACCTTTTTTGACACTGAACTGCAAAACTGGAAACAGAAAGACTTGAATCATGATTGTCAAAATTTTTTAAACATTAAACTTTCATGTAGTTCATTGCACTGCTTGTAAAAATAGTTGACTTAAATAATTCAAAGATCAAATGGTTAAGGTTTGGAATATTGAACACATTTGAATTTTTATGCCCCCACAGAGTGAGAGCATATAGCGTTGCACTTGTCCGTCCGAGTGTCCGTCATTCCGTACGTCCGTCCGTCTGTCTGTACGTCCCGAAATCTTGTGAACGCAACTCCTCTTAAACCGGATGGCAGATTTTGCTTAAACTTCCAGGGATGAACAACCTTAATGTGTAGATGGTAGTAAAGGAAGGAATTTTTGCTGCGACCAAATTTAACAGAATTATGGCCCTTTGTTGATTTTTTCACTGTAAAGTATGTAGAAATTTTGTGAACGCAACTCCTCTTAAACCGGATGGCAGATTTTGCTTAAACTTCCAGGGATGAATAACCTTAATGTGTAGATGGTAGTAAAGGAAGGAATTGTTGCTGCCACCAAATTTAACAGAATTATGGCCCTTTGTTGATTTTTTCACTATAATATACTATGTAGAAATTTTGTGAACGCAACTCCTCTTTAACCGGATGGCAGATTTTGCTTAAACTTCCAGGGATGAACAACCTTAATGTGTAGATGATAGTTAAGGAAGGAATTTTTGCTGCGACCAAATTTAAGAGAATTATGGCCCTTTGTTGATTTTTTCACTATATACTATGTAGAAATTTTGTGAACGCAACTCCTCTTAAACCGGATGGCAGATTTTGCTTAAACTTCCAGGGATGAATAACCTTAATGTGTAGATGGTAGTAAAGGAAGGAATTTTTGCTGCGACCAAATTTTACAGAATTATGGCCCTTTGTTTGATTTTTTCACTATATACTATGTAGAAATTTTGTGAACGCAACTCCTCTTAAACCGGATGGCAGATTTTGCTTAAACTTCCAGGGATGAACAACCTTAATGTGTAGATGATAGTAAAGGAAGGAATTTTTGCTGCCACCAAATTTAATAGAATTATGGCCCTTTGTTGATTTTTTCACTATTTACAATGTAGAAATTTTGTGAAGGCAACTCCTCTTAAACCGGATGGCAGATTTTGCTTAAACTTCCAGGGATGAACAACCTTAATGTGTAGATGGTAGTAAAGGAAGGAATTTTTGCTGCGACCAAATTTTACAGAATTATGGCCCTTTGTTGATTTTTAGTTTTCAACTTGTGGCACATGTAGTCCAAAAAATATTTGACCTAGAGTCATAAGATTGACAGAACAGTAACTGTTGCGTGTGGGGGCATCCGTGTCCTATGGACACATTTCTAGTTATCTTAAAGTTAATAAAAAATGAACATTTAATAATTATTTTATTGACTCAACCACCCATGACTTATACAGTGTGATCTGTGATCTCCCTTCAAGCTGCCTAATTTTATATGGTAAAGTAAGACTTTACCTGCTTTTGGTATTGTTCTTATTCTATGCCAGTTTAGCTCATTTGGGAGAGCATCAGTGCTCAGGCCAGATTAATTTTTTTTATAATTGAAGTTGGACCTTGGGTGTTGTTATCTTTTTTTTCAGTAATCATGTAGTAAGTAGTTGTTCACTTGCAGAGAAATTGGTAATGACTGGTTACATGTAGTTATCTTGGAAAACTGGTTAGTTTGATTGACCTCCAAGATTTGATGAAAACATGTTAAAATCTACATAAAAAAGAAAATTGCTTTTTCAGGAGAAAGAAGTGGTCAAACAGGAATTATCAGAGACTCAGAAAATGTTGGCTGGTATTGAGGCAAAGGAACATCAAGAAACTGTAGAGAAAGAGAAATTATTGAGGTATATATCTTCTAACAAATGATTTAATATAACCAACTGACATGGAAAATTTTTGCTTGTAATTTTTTGACCTTTTGATATATATTCATACCTTTAATGTTTTAGCGAAATTAATGCATTTTTTGATTCAGGGCACTTATGTCCTTCTCCACCTGTAAAGCTAGAAAGTCACCATATGACCATTACAATGTCAGTGTGTCTTCAAACCCGACAACAACAACAACAACAAACAAAAAAGGAAAAAATCTTTAATGTGAGAATGCTATTTAGCTAGCTTACCATACATAGGTGGTTCTACTCAGGTGCCAGTTTGTGCCTGAAATAATGCATGCCGGAGGGGGGGGGGGGGGTTGTTCCTCAATCAGTAAAGCTAGAAAGTCACCATATGAGTGTCTAAATGTTGGTATGATAAAAACCTGACAAGATTTGTAGTATATTTATATGTTAGTGATCATTTTAGTGAGTACAAGAAGAAAGTAGAAGCTGCAAAGGCCAAGATGACTGTCTTACAGAGAAAACAGAAAGAAACAGAGAAAGTGGCCAATATGTCCAATCAAAATGATAAAAAGTAAGAAATTTTATAACATGATGAAGATGTTTTTAAGAATATAACAAAAGGTATGACCAAAATGTCTTCATATTTAATTTCCTAAAAAGAAGAGAAGGGGATCACGAATTTTTCTTACTAGAAAAACACTTTATTAGAATGATACAATGTTGAAATATGTGTTATGGAAGTATGTAGTAATGGAAATGTTATTAAGAGGTAAAATCAGGCACAGCTTTTATATTATTTTGGTACAAAACTGCACTATACATCACAAAGGTTTTTGTCATTGCAACAATTTCTATATTTCCTTTGATCAGCCTTTCTTTGATTTCTGTTGTGCTTCAATGTTTGGGGGGGGGGGGGTCTAATTTTCATAAATCTTCAACAGATTGATGGTCAAGGTGCAGATTTAATATTTTAATTGCTTCTCTTGTTACATGAAAAAGGCATCTAAATATATATACAAGTGCCAAATTTCATTGGCTAATTGCATATTGTAATAAAATCTATATTGTTCCTATTACACCATATTATACCTTATATATGTATGTATGTTTGAAAATAAAAGTGTTTGTCTCGTTATTGTTTAAGAATATCAGATTTGGAGTTAGCTGTAGACAGAATGAAACAACAACAGGAAAACTTACAGAAACGTCTGAAGGATGAGTCAGATAGAAAAGTAAAACTTGAGGTATGAAGTAAACAGAGAAAATTGATTAATACTACATGAAATAAAACATTTTTGAACTAAAGGAGTCACTTAAATGATGTTTACAGTGATCTGTACTTTATTTCCACTTATTTTCATGCTTCTTAAAAAAACAAAACAAAAAAAAACAAGATTTGAACCATTAAGTGACTTTTTACACATAACATATTCAAGATTTAAGGTAATAATTTTCTCAAATGATTTTACAACAGAGGCAAAACAATTATGTGACTGATATATATACATGATATAAATGACTTTTCCATACTTGTACTCCGAGCTTTGCTTTATAGATATCACATATGATGTAAAGACACTAGACACCGATTATAGATGACATTCTGTTTAGTACAATGTTTTTCTCCACTATCTATTTAAAGTGTAGAAATAGGTGGTAACATAAGCACAAAAGGTGTACATATTAGTAAAAAATCAAGAACACAATTTAGTTACATGCCTTATGCAATAGGACTGAATTAGTTGGACAATGTATGAAAAAATATATTAAATTAAGGTGATATTTTAACTGCATTTGCCTTATAATATGAATAAATGAAACACTTTGACTTATAGAGAGAGATGCAGAAAGAATTACAGAGGGTGACAGAATTAGAAATTAAAAATGAACAGCAACAGAAATTATTGAGACGTAAAAATGAGGAGATCGCCTCTGCTAAAAGAAGATTGAGAAATGGCAGCGGAAGTGTGCTGCCTCCAATAAATGGGTTAGTGAATGTTTCAAGTTAAAGAAATTTAGGAAATACTCTTTTTCTTCGGTAACATGTACCTATTACAATGTCATGTGACAGTATTTCTATGATTTAAATATTTATCTTTGTTTAAATTTAAGTGATAAACCTATCATTTTTTTGATGACCATTTGTGCTCTGATGTTCTTTATAGAAAGATATTGTTTTTCTGACGCCATGATAATATTAATCTTTTAAGGTTAAGAAGTTCATTTAATGTTTGATATGGTCAGTATTAGTGTTGGGTATCGGACTCAAAAATCACTATCAATAATCGGACCACCACAATCGATTGTCTGCCGATAGTATAATCGATTTTCGCACTTATTATTGACTTATTTTCTTTTAAGGTACCAATCCTTGTATGTATTTTTTATACAGTAGTGACCACATTTTGAGAATAAATAAACTCTTGTCTCCAAGATTAAAGTATGATTTGCTCTTTGAATTCAAAACAAACAACACAAATACCTAATACTACTTTGTGACAGTCAATTATTGTATAATACAACTTAATGGCAGTCAATATTTATTATTAGTACTAGTCAACAGATCACAATATAAATGAGTAATATTGTAGATCACTCATTGAACTACAGTAGATAATTATATATAAGTTTATAATGTTATGTTATTACACACTTTAATTTTCTAAAGTAGTATTAACCATGATAAATAGGTTTTGAATACAAAAAAGACTTAAGGATCGCCTGGAATTAAAGAGATTCAGTCGGGACATTTCTATTTGTCTGCGTGTAAAAAAGTTACGCCCTAAGCAGTTCATGCGGTGGTAGAACATTAAAATAATTGATTTTTAAAAAGGACTATCGATAGTTGCCGATTTTGCGGTGGTCCGATTAGTTATCGATTTTCAGAGACAATCGGGACAACACTAGTCAGTATGACACAAAGCAATTTCGTTGGTTGATATCAATCCATATACTGTATATAATTTGCATGTTTTCATTGAAATTTGACTGTCATTGCTTTTTAAAAGGATTTCAAGATAAGGAACTGAAAATTTGACCAGGCAACAGTATAGCGTGGAATCAGACTGCATTAAGATGTAGGCAGGCCTGGTTCTACAAGGGTTGATGTTAATTGTAATAATTTTGTTGCAGGGACGAGCAAGATAAAATTGAAGAGCAGAAGAAATGGCTCGACTCGGAGATTGAGAAAATGGTACAACAACGACAAGAAGTAGAACACTTACATGAGGTATTATTTTTTTGATGCATTATATATCCTCAATATTCTGAGTTCTGGTTATAATTATTGGGAATAATGACTGTTGAGTTAATTGACCCTTGCCCTATTCTATACTGAAACAAATAAGAAACTTTCTCCAAGTTTGAATGTAGATATGTTAGTACAGTTTTTTCAATCCTTTTGAAACTCGATTTTTACGTTGAATAAACATATCGGGCTTTTATACGGGGATTAGCTGACCGATTTTGCAAACAAAATGAGTTTTACAAGCTACTACATGTATATAAGTGTGTACATCTAAGTGGTACCCTTGAACAACTGGCACATACTTTGCGAAAGTTTCTTTTCTTAGGTTCAGTATATATCAGTTATGGTTTATCCCTGCTTTGAAATTTAAACAGTCCAGTTAAATTTTAAGAAATTTCAATAACTGTTAACAGAACACTCAAATTGAGCTAGCAACAGTATAGAGCCTGGTCAGACTGTATGGTATTGCAGGCTAGCATGGCTCTATACTGATGGCATATGCAAATATTTTTTGTTTCCATCAAGTGAGGGGTTTATTGTTGAAATTGTAGATATTTGTTTAATTTATTTCTTGATACTTGTTCATTAACTGTTTGAAATATGGGAATGTCCATACTGTGTCTGATTGTGACATTTTATATTTATAGGAGTTAAGAAAGAGGGAAGAAATGATAGCTAAGAAAGAAGCCTTGTTGTCAGAAAGGAGTGAGTTAGAGATGAAAAAACTCCGATCTAGTCAAGTTGTTAATAAGGTGAGGAATTTATGAGGAATTTCTTGTTACTTTTGAACAAAAAGATATGAATCTCTCTTAGAATATTAGAATAAGAACACAATTTTTTCTTAAGATTGTTGCAAGATTCTTTACAATAATAAAGCATGTGACTTTCTGAATATAAAAGATACATGATTATTTCTAAGATAAAGACAATAAAAAATTTGACAAAGAAACATGCTACATGTGTCTGTATATGTGGTTAAAGAGTTATCTGTTGACTCGCTTTTTCACTTATTTTTGAAAATAACTCAAGAGTGTGTACCAAGAAAAGGTAGCAATGTTATTGTGGTGCGGGGCATTGTAATATAGATTAAATTGTATTGTGAAATTTTGCTGATATATATGTTATAGTTGATAGCATGGCCATGTCATAAAAGTGTCAGTCAACTTGTGATGTAAGGATCACTAACCATGTGGTTTTAATTAAACCCTGTCCGGGTCAAGTCATTTTTTCCTTGAGCAAGAAACTACACTCGTTACTCAATACTTGTTGGTTCTAGGTGTATTTATAAGCTTAATGCTTCTTACACAAACTAAAATAAATTCTGTATTAACTAAATATTGCCCAGGTATGAGTGAATTACTTACAAGTAGTAAAGTGTATAATATACCATTCTGTTTCAGAGTTTGTTGTCAGTATCAAGTAAGTTAGATATGGTGGAAAGGAAATTAGAGGAGAAGTCAAGAGAACTTTCACAGACACCAGATCTCCGTGGAGAATCACTGAAGGAAGATATAGAAAAATTACACCACACGAGAGATAAACTTCAGAAACAGAGATCGTTGTTAGATGAGAAATTACACGGTGGTAGTTTATTGTCAGGAAGTGAGGAGAGAAGGTAAGGTTCATTGTTAGTAGTTAACAGAAGGAAATTTGTTTAAGCTATATATTGTACAGTATGTTTATGTTTGTCTAACAACATGAATGTGTCCCGCAATGTTTCTTTACAATTTACATCCTGATTTTAAGGAAAAGCAAAAGGAAGGCAGTGCAAATTTTGCTATTTTTCAATAGTTACAGTTCATTTCTTTTTAAACAACTAAGATATGACCTTTATAGTGTTTGCGCAAGGCAAAACCCATCCCAACAAAAAAAAAAAAAAAATAAAATGTATGCAAGTTCACAACCACTGAATGTATTTGATTGAAACACTATACATGTCTTTATAGAGTCGTACTTTCATGTTACTTACCTAGACCTATAAGTCTTTGATTATAACTATATTTTATCCCTCTTTTTTTAAAATTCAACATTACCTTTGTTTTAACATTAAGTTTTGAGAATTACCAATCTATATACTTAATAAAAGCACCGAAAATAGTTCTTTTAATACTGCAAGTCTTGTGTCAAGTTTATTTAAAAAAGAAATAAATAAAATCTTAAAAAGTAGAGGGTTGAAACCCACACAGCAAACAATTTTGAGAAAACTTGTCTGACGCTTGACCACTTGGACATGGCGCCACTTTTTTTCAAACATTTGATATTTGTATTTCAGATTAATAGAATTAGATGAAGGTATTGAGGCATTAGATGCTGCCATAGAATATAGATCTGACACTATACGCAGTAAACAACTAGAGGTGCGACATTCTCAGGCACTGGCTCAGGTGATTATAACCTTAGATAAAATAATAAAAATTGGGTTATTGATTTGATTTTTAGAAAGTGTAATTTTCTGAATTATACATGTATTCAGAATACCAAAAACTGTCAAGATTCTTAATTTTTTGTTGTTAAATTTATAACTTTTACATAATCTATGTATATGATTATGGGACATAAAATTGTTTTTGCTATAAAAGAAATTGATATATACCTTGGTTAGATTTGAAAAAAAGGGATGACAAAGTTTTTGAAAACTATGATTAATTAAAAAAAAATCTTTTATATTTAGGTGAGCTGATTTTGGAATAAATGATAAAAACATTTCATACTGAAGATCATTTTGTTGACATCATAAACTTTACAAGGCTTATGTTATATTTCATAGTGAAGAAATTTGTTTACATAATAAACTATACAAGGCTTATGTTATACATTGTATTTCAGAGTGAAGAAAATTCTGTTAACATTAATCTATACAAGCAATATGTTATATTTCAGAGTGAAGATAATTTTGTTGACATAATAAACTATACAAGCAATATGTTATATTTTAGAGTGACGATAATTTTGTTGACATCATAAACTATACAAGGCTTATGTTATATTTCAGAGTGAAGATAATTTTGTCAACAGAATGAATTCGTTGTCACCACAAGATCTTAAAACACTTCTTGCCAAATATTTTGAGAAGGTTGTCAACCTAAGAGAACAAGAAAGGAAATACAGTTTACAGTCTAGTGAAATGGAGGTGTGTTTTACTTTACACTGCTTTAAAGATTGGAATTTTTAATCTTCTGCAGTCACATGTAGTCCTGTCTGTCCATGTCTATATTGTGTTGACTGTCCAATGGAACTTTCCTCTACATATATGTTTTAAATCTTGATAAAAACTTTCTTCGTAGAACGGGTTAAAAAAAGGCCACAATTTATCACCTTAAACAGGAACAGATTTACTCCTATTTTGATAGGATTGCACTGAGGTGATAATTTTTTTATTATTGTGCAATTATATTGAATATTAAGTGTGTAATTTTGATTATTAAGTACATGTATTAGTATTGATTCTCCAATGAAATATAAATGAATGCATAGCATACTATTGTATGTATAGGTAAAAAAAATGTTTGTACAGAATATAACATCTTATTTTTATCCATGATGCATATAATGGTTACATTGGACTCCTGTGCATGATACAGTGAAATTTGAGAAAACCGGACGCTGAGAAAATCGGAACTCTCTAAATACCGGACGAATAATTTAGTCCCAAATTTTCCCTTCTTTAAACTATTGTATTAAACACTGACAATACCGGAATCTGTAAAAACCGAATATCGGACGGTTGAAAGGGGACTACAAAGTCCATTATATAGACAATTAGCCTGACAATACCGGACGACGAAGGTGTGAATAACCTTGTGTACTTATCAATTGGTTGTGTCTAATACGCTAACTGAGCGGTAGCGGAACAATGATTATCTGATTAGTTAATTATATCTCTTTTTACAGTTTGATTCATTGTAAGGTATAGATGTTACCGTTTTATATAAATGCCAAAATCCACGAGAAATTGATAATTTAAAATCAGTATGAATGAAAAATATAATATCATTATACTGCATTGCTTTTTGTATATTCATTTCCCAAAATGACAACGCAACGGAAACGACATTTATCAGCGCTAAGTTCTATTCCATGGCTCAAAAGAATTCGACAAGAGCTGTCTATAAGTGACAAATTTAAATTAGTTAAAGACAGTGAAACTTTGCCGAGACCTACTTTAAAAATCTTTGTCTGACAAATATGGTATAGGCAATATTTACAATTGGAGCATTATTATAAACAAACAAAGCAAACTATGTTCGTTAAATCATCATCCATTTCCCAAATGTAAACATATGCGGGTGTAATCGGACTTTATCGTTATGAGGTAACTACTGTTCGTTTAAATCCAAAATTTTATTGTATTTATATGCAATAATGGGACAAAAACAATTAAAACATATTGTATAGTATTTTTATCATTTCTTTATTAAGCAATATACTTACTCATGATCATGAAAATGCAAATATACGTTCAGCATCCTTTGTAAGTTATTGCTCGGTTTATAAGATCCTGAATAGCTGAAGGGGACATTGAGAATACCGGACCGCTGAGAAAACCGGACAAAACCCTCGGTCCGAAAGCCGTCCGGTTTTCTCAACTTTCACTGTAATAGTAAATATCACGTAAATAGACTTGCACAATTATATATTTACGAAGTAGTATTGAATATACATTTAGTATCATTAAGTGCATTACTGAATTCAAAATTTATAGATCACCTTTTGGCATATAATAACCTTTAAGGATATGAATGGTGACATTTCCGGGGTCTGTACTCTTAGTGCCTGAAATGGACTCTCGTTAAGCATAGATTACACACAAACATATACAGAATATTATATTGTTGTTACAGGTAAAGCTAGATGAGCAGGAGAGGTTGATACGAGAGTTAGAGAGTACAATACAGAGATCTGCTGTAGAGATAGATCGTAAACTCATGTCACAACAGAAAGAATACGAGCAGAAAATACAGTTATTGATGCATCAACTGATGGAGAATGGAAGCAACTCGAGCAATAATGTTATCAATGGGCATGATCCAATGATTGAACAGAGGTAAGATTGTTATATCGTTCAGTGCTAGCGGTGGTTATAACAATTCTATGCCACCAGTATTTCTTTTTTATTGCACATTCAGACATACAAATTTCACGGACAAGTTACACAAAGCATTTTAATGTAGACAACAACAGTGAAATATGTACATTGTATAAGTTTACAAATATTTCTTACCATTGTATAAAATTTTCAATATTAAATATAAAAAACAGGTAACTATATTAACGATCTTACAATAATTTGGACCAGTAATATCTATGTCATCAATATTGAGTCAGGGCAATTTATACATCTAACAAGACTATACATGTATATACTCTTTATAAATCTTATAAGTGTGTAAGTCTAAATAGTTTATCAATATTGGCCCGATCATGCTGATTTTATTTTGATAAATACTTAAACATGGCATGATATACTCATTTGATTGCTGTCCGTAGAAGTTAAACAAATTGTTGATTTTTGTAAGCAAAAAAATTGTTTGGAGTAGTTTAAAATAAATAAACTTTTAATTGGCAGAATTGTTTTGCCAGTTTACCTGCCAGCTATATTGACAATGCCATGTTTGTTCTCGAAATCGTAAAATTTATCAAATCAATATTGGTTTTCCAGAGGTTCGAATTAGAAACCGCATCACTTTCAAAATTGAAACCTCGCTGATGATAGGCTATTTGAAAGGTCACTAGAAGGTGACCTCCTATTGGTGCCAGTCAGATCCTAATGCATAGTGTTATTTAATAGCTGATTTTTTATCAGATTGATAGTGTATGATAGGTCATTTATATGTTATTTTGCAGGGTAACTCAGCTGGAGAAAGATTTATATTATTATAAGAAAACAAGTAGAGAATTAAAGAAGAGGCTCAGAGAGTATGTTTCCAGTGGTACTATACCTGCTCAAGGTAAATCTTGTATAGAAATCATTGTTAAGCTTTCAAATATAATAATAACTTGTTATAAGATTTGAAGTGAGAATATAATTTTTTGAGAATTTTGGTAATGGTTATGTTTTAGAAACTCTTCTAAAGAAGTTGTGCATTTATTCACCTTTGGTGAATTTGTGCTCAACATATAAATTATACAATTGACAATATTTATAGATTTTCCGTGGTTCACTTTTATTACTGATAATTTTTGCATAGTGAAATATAAAATTGAACACAATAATGGCAAAATGTAAAGTTGTTTTGAGTTTTACTTGTGCACTCACAATTTACTCTTGGATGGAAATAATGTCACTTTAATAATATATTTTCTGTTGTTTTTTTTATTATAAGATATTGATTTTATAATATTTTTGATAAATCAGAGATGGATTTACGAGCTTCTGTACAGAGTAACATGGATGTTGGAGATAGTCAAAATAATCACCACGGAAACAGTCATTCACAGAATAGAGAGTCACATTCTGCAAGGTATCCTTTATTCTTTATATCTCATTATCTATATCTACATCAAGTCATAAGAGAAGTAAACATATTTAGAAGACATTCGTTTTTCTACTCAAGCGCCTGTTTGTGCCTGAAGTTATGCATGGAGGGGCGCCTCGGGTCTTCCTCCACAAGTAAAGCTAGACAGTTGCAATATAACTGTTACTATGTTGGTGAGATATGAAATTATTTAGTTAAACCAATGTGATGTAAAAACATCTTATTTCTCTCGGAAAATCAATGTACAGTGGGCTTCAATTACAATTAAACAATCTATATAAGTTTACATGCAATATTTTTTTTATATGTTTTTTTCCAATCATTATATTGAATTTTTACAGTTTTACATCATCATTGTTTTAATTTTCTAGTCCTTAAAAGTCATTGATCCTAATATGTTTAGTGTTGTAGATTGAAAACTGCTTAAGCTGGTATTAGGGGACATGAGAGATGTTGCCCTTTACATTATCTCTGAAGAACAGACTCGATCAAATTGAGTCTGCAATTTCCAACTAAAAGTTTTTTGTTTTTATTGCTCTAGTGCAATTTTTCATTTCCAAATTCTTTTACATTTCATAAGTTGTTTGAAATTATAGACAAATGATCATTTGCTATAGATTAAAGGAATATAGTAATTAATTAATTAACTATTTCTTAGATCTCGTGATAACCGGATAACTGTAGATAGGTTACACGAAGATGTTAATAGATTGACGAGATCGAAGGAAGATGGGTACCGGCCAAGTTCTGGTAAAGCAGGGCACCATCTTCCATCCAACATAACACCGGTGAAGATTTCACGGAAAGATCTGAGACTCATGTCGGAGGAAGAGATTAAGATGAGAAAATCTAATTTAAAAGATAGCCATGCAGAACAGCAGACTCCACATGGTAATATAATAGTATATTTGAATTAATTTATCTTTAAAGGCCCATTATGCCTCAGAAATGCTATCATTTTTATTTCTCAAAAACCTTCTATTTTTAGTATCCAGATACAGTTTAAAAATTGTTTACTCATTTGCCATATACATGTAGATGAACTGTTTTTGTATTTACTTTACAGATTCCTTAGACCCTGGAGGGAAGAACCCATGGGGCTGAGAGTACAGTATTGTGTAACATAGTGACTAATCAGGGTGTAATATTTATTATATACATAGAGTTTTCACTTGCTCTTTTATGTGGATTTTATTATATAGAGAGGCTAGTCCTTAAAACTGATCAGAGAGAAGATACATTCCAGGTTTATGTGAATTGTAATTGTTGATGTTTGTCTATTCTTGTTGCTGAATATAATGTTCATCACAGTGCAGTAAAGAGTTCATTCCTGGTAAATTCAAAAGGAGTTAAGCTGTTACTGCTCTCAGTTAACAGTATATTGTCTTGGTTGTTGAGGTCGACACACCATCATATTGGCAATAACACCACCGACTATGGTTGTGGACGGTAGTTCTAGGTGATATAGGTATCGCCATAAGATGTATTTGGTATAATCAGTAGTGTAGAAGTGGTGGAATTTCAGTTTCGAGAAAGTGTCCATTACCATGATTTGATATATAAGAAATTTGTAAAAAAAAAATTTTGCAAAATCTTTGACCACTATTTAGATGTATGAAACAACCTGTTTTTTTTTCTCTTTAAAACTCTTGACCACCATACAAATATATGAAGCAGCCTTTTTACAAGGGTAAATTAAATAAATGATTTTTTCTGAAGCGAATAAAAGAAATATGCCAGTAATAAAGAATGTTATCCTACAAGAGTAAAGATATGATATGATAGTGTTCACTGCCACAGAAAGCATTAAACCAAAAAGCCTACTGCAAAAATCATGCTCATTACCATATCATCTGTAAGATACTCATTTGTAACATGATAAACTTAAAGGGACTCCACTGAGGTTTTTTTTTTGAATGAATGGACCAAAAATATTTTTTTCAAGATTTTTGTGGTCTGGAGATATAAATCGTGTGCAAAATTTCATTTTCTCACTCTGCTTCCCAGAGATAATCGATTTTATGTCGCAAATTGACCTCAAAATGAAAAGCATTGCCACACTTTTCACTAAATCGACTTAAAGCCCGTATAAAAAAATTGATAATAAATTTAGTACCAAGTACATTTACAAATTATCTATTACATAGATTTTCATTTGAAGAGTACCATTTAAATAGTGAAAGTATTTCAAATTTTACGCTTTAAGGCTATTAGACTTCAGTTGAGTTCCTATAACCTATTTTACTGCTGAAATGTCAAAATTGCCATGATCTTGAAAACCATAAGGGGCCTGATGTCCCATTGTGTAAGTTTTGTCTGTGTTAAAATGATCTTTGTCATACATATCAATATTCTATTGTTGTGCTGATATCATTGAAATATTGTAATATTTTTGTTGACTGTATTCGGACATTTTATCATGGAAGAATTATTTTTTTCCTGAAGAAAGTCAAATTTTCTGTTAAACGAATCTCTCCTTGTGACTGAATTTTACTTTTGTCATGTAATAGAATTGACATGTAGAGATAAAATGATTGTTTTCGCTAAAAATTAGCAACTTCCCATTGTTCTGTAATGACATTTATTTTTCAAATATAACATTACATGTTTTACTTCCTTTGTAAAAATTAAAGTATTTTAAGCTCAACTATTTAAAATCTACTTATTGTTGCATTGACATTAGCAAAATGTGACATTTCAATAACAGTTGAACTTATTGCCTGGAAAAATGCACACCAGTCTTTAGGATGTTACTTTCCAGGAAGCATAACTGCTGCAGTGTTATTTTACTAAATTACTCCCCCTTCATTAACTGCATTGATTTTGTTTAACTATCAAGGTTTGAAAATGTCCAAGGGTATTGTCCATTTAATGAGTGGTATTCTTTTACAATTTACCTGTTCCTGCCATATAAAAATTCAGTTCTTTTACTACTATACATGAATTTATCATGTATTTTTGAGATTAAACATCTAAGCCAGGTGTTTTCGTGTTATCACTGCCTCTAAAATTAAACGTTCCGCAGTTACATATATCACAAAGTTTTAACATTATTTGATGTACATATTCAAGTCTTAATTATGATGATAATGTTGATGAAACAAAGGGTTTCATGGTAAAAAAAAGAAAACAACAAACGATAACTGTCATAAAATGTGTAGGAATCTCAAAAACCATCCATTCTTAAAACCGTCCCGTCTTACTGTGATATTTGTATCTTAATTTATTTCTCTATTTGAGTTTACGGTAAATACATAAATATATATATATATATATATATGCATGTCAGAAAAATGTATATTCAGTGTATATTTTATGGAATAATAGTCCTGTTTGAATGTATTGACGATGTTATAAGAAATGTATGTAATATGTGTAATGAAGCTTGATGTACATAACCATATGGTCTTTATTAATAATCATGTTTTAACCCATAACCTGCTGGAGCCAAAAGTGATCAACCTTTGCCACCTGAGTATAGATCCAGGCCAGCCTGCACTTCCATTTAGTCTGACCAGGCTCTATACTGTTGGCTGATTAACTTCAAATTTTCATCCTGATATCACCGATATTGATGATTGATTGTTCCAAAAACGTAAGCTTGACAAGTCCATTTTAGAGATTCAGCAGGTTAAGGGTTAAGGTATTGCTGTTTGCTCTCTGCTATTTGTTAAGAATCTAGATATTTTCTGAAGTAATGTAGGTCTGCAATTCTTCCTTTTATAAGTTGTAATCTATATTCAAACAGGACACGCAACTTCATTTGTTTTTAAAAAGATTTTCTTAGATTTGTTTTAGAAATGTATGGATCTATGCCATTTTTTCTTGCAAAAGAAAATCAAACTTAAATGATTTTAAGCTTGTTAGGATTATTCGAATTTGTTAAAGAAATGTTATTGTGTAATTTCTGTTATAGATTTATATGGTAATCTTGCATAATTTAGGGGGTATAGGGGCTTTAAGATTTAATGGTAAAGGCCACTGATTTCCATTGGATAAAGTATCAATGTTCTGGGATCCAATCTTATTAGTTACCAGTCACAATACATTCATATCTGCAAAGTTAATGGAAGTTCATTTGTATTTCTATTCTATTTCTATTCTGGTGCCCACTAATTAGTATTCTTGAAGTAATGCTCAAAGGGTGTAATATAAGGACAGTATCCACTCCCAACATTTTTAGCAGGACATTTACCATATTACACAATGGGTTTTGTTTTAATATTCAATAAAAAGAACGTACATGTATAAGAAAGTCCAAATTCTTAATAGAAAAAAATAATTGTGTCACAATCTTGATGCATTGACAATAATAAGTCTATTTTTGACAAGAAAGAATAATACTGCCTTGTTCAGACTTTTTTCCACAAATAAGTGCAATTAATAGTGGTAAACTTGAAGTTCATTGTGATTTTCTCTATCTGTCTGTTTTAGTGCTACCATTATGTGTTCATTATCATATACTTGTTAACATTTTAATATCAACACTTTAAATGTATACATATCACATCACTCTTCAAGGAATATAAACCAGTGTATACTTTGTGTTGTACATGTATTATAATACAATAATAGTGTGTCTGAAATTTAATTGAACACTCACAAATGCATCAGTCATTTGTAACCCCAGCCCCTTTCCTCCGGGACAGTTTGGGTGTAAATGAGCTTTGATTTTGCAGAGTCATAGGGAGGGTTGTTTATATACCATTGGGGAGAGGGTGTTTAGTTGGGATTTTTACCATCTAACAGTCCCAGCAACTTGGAGTCTTTAATGTCGGTTTGATAATGGAAAGGTCAAAGTCTGGGCTATTCTTAGATGTAAGGGACGAAGATTACAACTGATTGGTGCATAAGTTACAGTGGTTTTATCATATTTAGTCATTTACTTTTAGATTTTATACAAAAATCTAGCCATCCAGGAATTGTTTGAGCTTGATAAATAGCAAATTTTGAAATTCTCAAAATTTAATTTCTTACACTAATATTAAATGCAGCTCTTTTTAACTGTTCTAAATTATTTTATATCACAGTTTAAGCAACTGTTCAGAAATTTCAAACAATATATTGACACAAATTTATCACCACTGACACTCCTTTTTGGTGGTGATCTCAGTACAAGTTAAATGATTTAAAAACTTCATGAGGTGTTAGAAGTGTAACTGTTACCAGACAGTTTCGATATATACATGTATATATAGATAAAAAAACTGGTTATAAATATCCATTAGTTCTAACAAAACCTATTTTGCCATTGTTAAGAATTACATTGTTGTTAGTAGTTTATATATACAATTATTATTTTTGATGGAAGGTAGATGTTTTCACCAATTTCTCATTTTTGTTGAACCACATTTTATTGCTGTAAATTGAACTGTGAATTATTTTATGATAGTATTTGCTAGTGATTTATTTTGCAGGACACTTGCTGAATAAAGATTCAATCATATATAGTGTTTGTTCTATAGAGTCTGTTTCTGACATCATACAGTGAGCAATGAGGATCCCTGATTGTTGGATATCTGTCATAAACCAATTTAACTCTATCTATCATACCAATAGTCAAATATTGATGAAAAGTTTTGACATGGATGTTCATATCACTAAGTCCTAAGATACAATGTACTTTTTAAACCATTCCAGTCATAGAACATGACAACAGAAATGATCCACATTGGTAAAATATATCCTAAAATTTATTGTTCAAACCCTTCAAATTGTATAAAATTGGTTGCCATGGAAACAGAAATTATCCACATTGATAAAATCTTTTGTCAGGAAGTGCTTAAATAGTTCTACAAACCATTCCAAATGTAGAGCATCTGTTGCCATGGCAACAGAAAGGAGTAACTTTGAAATTCTCTCCTCCGGAACGGGAAGGCCTAGACTACGATACTTGGCATGGACATTAACCTTTGGACCGCTACCAAGGTATTTCAAATGGTAAAAATTTACATAATTCATATTGGTCACATGATTTCACTGGAGTATGAAAGACTTTAACGAATCCGAACTCACAAGGCATTTGGCAAGTAACCAATATGAATTAAAATTGACCTTAGGGCTTTTAACAACAATTTAACTTGCATAAATATAATATATGAATTAATTGTAACTTCTTTTGAATTGAACATAAACTTTATGGTCGCGCGTATTAGTATTTAGGTAAAAGCAAACTACAAATGTTGCATTTTTGCTTGGTCTTCATCTAGTCTCTATCAACTGCCTTCTTTGCTGGCATATTGGACACTGACTGATTTTAAAAGAATATCATGAAATGCCAAGCCTTTACCGCCCGGCGCCCACGCGGCGACCTCCAATCCATTTATAAATCGCGCAGACGTCATCCTGACATCGAGCAGCGACTTCCCGGTTTTTAAATGCTGTTTGTAACATCAATTCGGCAAAAAATCGTCCGGCGACAGTTTCATTCATGACCATACAAGGTATCAGATTTAAAATCGCCCGGCGTTCGCGAAATCGTCAATGCCGCTGATGTTGTAAAATTCGTGGCGTTTTATTTGTGACCTAGGCATTAGTTGATACTTCTTACGAATGTGTACTTGTCTATTTGTATGTTATCAATTAGTGACTTTTTAGTGATCATTTTCAGTATGTATGTTTGGATCGTAAGTATTAAACAATACTAAGTACCACGCGAATCACAAAAGTAAAGACCTATTTGAGTCAATATTAATTTATAGTCGGTAAGTTCTATAGATAGATAAATTGTTTATTATAGTGACATGTGTTATACATACAAAAATGATATAATTTCAAAATAAAATAAATCAACATCCGGCCCCATGGGCCCATAAGGCACCTTAAATATAGATAGAGGATATTGAATGAGTGTAAGATCAATTCTGAATTTATTGAACAACTTGAATAAAACTATATAATGCGAGCTGCTAGCGAGCTTAATATAGAGGATATTGAATGATAAATTTATTGAACGAGTTGGATAAAATCATATTATGCGAGCCTCTGGCGAGCATAATATTGTTTTATTCGACGAGATCAATAAATTTAGTATTGAATCTACACGAATATAATATTCTATTTATCACATATGTAAAATAAGAACAGTAAACTGATATTTGTTTAGTTCAGTGTAAGATCGGAATATATTTCAACGAGTGAGCACCAAAAGGTATATTTCACGAGTGGCGCAACTTATATATGTATGTTAATAATTAAAAGGAAAAGTCTGAAATGTATTAATATAACTGATTTTGTCTGGTCTGGAATGCCTTACTTTTTACGAATATTATCATTCAGTAATATACGTAATTTTTCTTAACTTGTTTTGTTGGAAAAGCAACTGTCTGAAAATAAATTGCCAACTATTTCACTGCGTAGTTTGTTGTATAATGTACAATGGAGTAAAAATGTGTTTCATTTTCAATTTCATTACTATTAGACTGTGTGCATTATCTATCATGTAATTATTGGTTCATTTATGTACCTCCCAGTGCAATGTACAGTTGCAATCATATATAAATTAATTAGTACAAAATTCAACTAGAATCAAAAGGGGACAACCCCAAAAGCGGTGCAACGCCACAGAACATCTGTAATCAAAGCGCTGACAGCACTGACTTCATTTTATTCTTTTTTTTTCACAACATTTCTTGCATAGCAGACTGGCTTTTCCATAAGGTTTACCCATGCCGGAAATTTCATCTGGCATGGGGGTGCGAGATAAGTCGCGTGCCATACAACAACGTCAATTTAGCGCATTTTATGAATGAACCGCGTTAAAATGACGTCATTTTAGAAGGGAACTATGTGCTTCATTTCGTCGTTGTTATTAAAGTTGTAAATTCATACGCTTTTGTAAGAAAATAGTTATGGATGATATGACTTTATTTTCCATAAACAAATATCTTATTGAGGTTAACAATTTTAAATATGAAAGAATAAATATCTGACATGTTTGCGGTTCGGATCGGAATATCCGTCCCTCGGGAACCCGCACATGGGCGGTAACTCGGCAAGCCTCGTTACCGTCAAATAGGCGGGGTCCCCTTGGGACCGATATTCCGATCCGAACAGCAACATATGACAGAATTTATTATTCCTTCGTTCTTTATAGTTTAGTAAATAAGAATGCCCAATAAATGTTGTTACCTAAATTCTGGCTTATTCATTGCCACTTGAGTGATAACCAAAAGTGTGACGAAAAATATATTTATAAGTCTGCTTTATTATCGTGAAAGCTTACATGCAGTTACTCACCAATGCCTGTCATCATCCTTAATTTTAAATGTGTTACAATTGATGAGGCGGTGAGTGGCACTACACATTAATTGTGGAGACAACGAGGAATGGGCACATGAGTCCCTGGTACACACCTTTATATTTCTATTATTGTCACAGCTAGCTCAAATACTCTAATTGTAGGATGTAAATCATTCCGAAATTACCTCTTTAAGGGATTGTGGCATGTTTGGGCCTGCACTACTGTTTGTGCCTGTAGGACGGATGGACCATCATTTTTACATTCATTCTTAGCTGGTACCACAGACACTTGGGTTTGGAGCTTAAAACGTCTTTAAAGTCCAAATAAAATATATATTTGTCAATCCCAGCACATGTACTGATCATATATATAAAAAAACTTAATATAAGCCGTTTTGAAAAAAATCATATTTCAACATCTATAATAATACACAAGTTAGAAATGTTCGCCGCAAAAAATTCGCACACCTACCGTCAATATCACCATGTATTTTATTCCATTTCCAATATTTTCACATAATCGCTTGGTCCATCGACACAGAAGATATAATGCTTCACAATGATGGTCAATTTTAAACTTCAACGGTAATATAAACAACGCAACAGCCGAAATTCAAATAAACATCAAGATTATCGCCGTTTTACTGCATTTACAAAATCTTTCGATAAATTCAAACGTGGCCCAGCTTTTAAGTTTGGGAAACAACATATAATCGGATGGCTTTGTCCATAGCTCGAACATTCTTTCCAGGTTTTTTTTACAGGCGAATTTAGAATAAAATTTTAGCCAAACATCGGTTTCTTTTTCAATTTTGTATGATACTAATAATGAGAATATCCAAAACTGGTGAAATATTAAAGTACATAGTTAGTTTCAGCAAATGATATAGAAAATATCATTTTTTTCCTTTTTATTGAGGGTAGCTTTAGCAAAAGGGAATCTTGACTCCATTCGATATCATTCTTCGCAGATAATATGAGGTTGGCTCATATGACTATATTAATTTGTTGAGTTTGTGGCTAGGTATCGTTCATATTCTTAGGGATATTTCTCATATGGGGTTGCGATGTGAAAGAAGTGTATTTGTTTGTTTTAATGACATTGGCTTGTCCAACGTTTTGTTAAGTTAGCTCATTTGGGATCTGTAGGGCTTGATATTAATTGGTCTGTATGCATACTTAAGAGCCTTAAGTGTCCAACCTAATATTATCCGCTAGCTTCTTCTTACAAAATTAAATGAAAACTTTAAATTACAAAATGTTATTTTGGGTTGTAAATGTTTTCATCTAAAGAGTAAATTACATGTACTTATTCCAAGTGATAAACTAGACTGACAAAGTATCATGCTATAACATAGGAAAGACATCAAGCTACTGAATGAATATGTACAAAACTAATGATCCAGTGTCAGCCTTTACACCAAAATGACTATTATCCCTGCCTGTTTGCCGTCCTGTTGCACTGTTTCACTTTAAATTTGAATATGTTTTTGAGCTACTTACTGATGAAATATTATGCAACAGTCTCCAAAGCATGCAAGATGATTTAAAAAAAAACAAAAAGAAAAAACCTCAAACTATTTATAAGAAAATGAAAGATGACATTAAATATAAAAACGCCTTATAAGTATAGTGAGCTTTATAACATTTCAACATTGGCTTCAGATCACATAACGTGCACATCACCTGATGAAAAAATATATATTTGATGTTATAAAAGTAACAAATTGTAAACAATATATATTGTATTAAGCCAATCTTTTAAACTATTTCTTAGTATGCCGGAAGCGAAACTTTTAAGAAATAATTTTTCATAATTGTATAAATAATGCACTACATGTGCTTATCAAAATAAAGTTCGCATTACTAATTGTTGTTCTTTTTTTATACCGCCTCCGGTGTCGAGGGGTTAGAGTCGATGACTTCTAATCCAATTACCTCTCTGGCGTGGGTTCGATCCCCGGGAGATGCTTTGGTAGTTTAGCGCGGATGAAGGTCATCTAGTACTGGTGTAACTTTCCAGGAACGATGGTTAGGAAACTACCCGCCTTTATGACTGAAATACTGTTGGGAAAAGGCGTAAAATGAAACAAACAAACAAAAATTTTTTTTTTTATTTTATGTGCTATAAGCACACAGCGGGGTATTTCTATGGATGAACTACTTGATAATAATAACAACAATTCTATCTACTATAACTGAATATATACAGGCATGTACTTGTATCATAAAAACTATATCATAACAGTAACAACAGTGTTATAAGTATGAAGCCTGTATAAACTTCCATTTCAGTCTAATTTAACTATGATATAGATGACCGTGCATGTTTTCTGTTTGATCAAGAGTATAAGCTGTACTGCAGCCTGATGGACATAATATGTCATAACACACAAGCAGTGCATGATCATTAAACTAAAATCTTTATAATGCCTTTATGTTTTTGACTTCATTTTATTGGCTTGCAATTATGCCTGAAGTCTGACAATTAAGCCAGAAAGGAGCTTACACAGATGGAAATTTGCTGCATTGTTTCTTGTCCTTTGTTGAAGAGAAAGCAGGTAGCATTTTAATGCTTGTTGAGGTCTGTTTTCTTGTTCCATACATTGTCCTAAAATGTTGAGAGCTGTTTCTCTATGTCTGAGGTTTACATCAATTACTATGGTTCTTATAAGTTTACTAATTGCTTGTTGTTGCTCTTGATACATTTGTAGATGACTGTAGATCTTGTATTGTAGAAAGTACAGGAAAGGTAGAGAATCAACTACAGCAGAGTCCATCCAACAATCTAATTCTTTATGTCTGTGTATCATGTCATCTTGTGTAGACCTGAACATTTCATATTGTAGTTCATGAGGAACACAGTTGATTTCTTTCTGTGTGAATCTGACACAAACAGCTGTCTTTTTGATATAGTTCTCACTTTGTTCACTACATAACCTCATTAATTCTGCTGTAACTGCTGGTGGAGGGGTTTTCCAACAGCCGCAGATAGGTATGACAGGATAAGAGTAATATTGTTGTTCAGTGTGTCTCAAAATGAATTCAGCTTTCTCCATATATCCTGTACTGTAGAACACTGATGCCAGTTTAAGTCTGCTAGATGATATATCTGAGTTTACACCAGCTGATAGCCAGACCAATGCTTGAGGTGACACTTGATTATTTTCACCAATGCTTGATGATGCTAGGGTAGATCCATATGTGGTAAAAAGAAATGGTGCAAGGAACTTGAATGCAACATGTTCTAATCTATTACCATTATCACTGAAGTTCATCAATTTTACTATATGTTGCTTAATTGTTCTAATGTTTTCATTGTGTAAATGATTTAAAATATAATTATAATGTACACTTATGGCCCTTGCAAAGTTTAGATATTCCGTGGCCAAAACATGTTCATGTATTTCAAGAGAAGACATAAAATAGTAAACTCTGTGTTGTACCATGTTCAGTTTAACTTGAAGTCTATGGCCAAGATCATCAATATCAATTCTAAGTAACTGTTGCCTATCATTCTGTATAAGTTCACAAATACGTTTTGAAAGTTCATGTTTTGTCTCAGCTGTAAATTGCCCTGCCATCAAATTATTTTCCGGTATAATGAAATGTGAACAACAGTCATTCTGTACACAACTGTGTAATTCCAATAAGCAGTATGTTAAACATGTCAATAAATTGTTATCTTTCCATATACTTGGTTCCGTCTTTTCTATACAATGTAATAGAACTGTTTTACACATGAAACTTGATATATTGATTTCATCTTGAGGATTAAGGAAGGATTTAAGAATCATTTTCAATAGCACATAGCACCTTATTTGCGTTATATTTAGACTAAACATAAGGCATCTTTCTGTCAATGATGTAGATATTCTCCATTCCAATTCAGGATATTCACTAACCTTACTTCCAGTTGCAACAACAAAACACCCAGTACTGGCTGCATATCTTCTCATCTCTTGTGTTGGCCATCTGCCAATACCCTGTCTGTCTAACCAACCTGATGCTGATTGAGGCCTTGATTTACATGGATAAGCAATTACTTTGTCAATATCACAGAATCCAGGTTGCCCTTGGTCAGCAATAGATGGTCCATGCTGCTGACAAGCACCCTGAAGGAAAACATTGATAAATGTGTTTTTTAACAATATTCTTCCTCTTCTATCAGTAATATGGTGTTCATCATGAGTGCCGGTTAAACAAAGAGGTACATAAGGATGGAGCAGTTGTAAGAAACAATACCCGGGGGTAGTGTTCTCATCCTGTATCATGAGATAGTTTTCCTTGCCATATTCCCACTCTGACCAGTATTGTATTATATTGTAATTATGCATACAGCCTACTACATCAATGTCTGAATGAAGACCTATAGTAGTTGTACCTTCACTCTGACTCCCTAGATTATATTCAGTAATATTTTTATCAGTTAACTTGTACCTGATATTAGTCAAAGTCTCTTTATGCATGTTCACTCTTCTCCTTTTCACCACCATTCCTTCATTGACACCAATGTCATTTAATACCTCTGATAACATCAGTGATAGGTGTTCCCTGTAGGCATTTTCTTGAAACATTCTGTAATACATTTATTTAGTTAAAGAGAAAATTGTTTCAGTCAGCTACCAAATCAATTTTTTTAACATACTTTTGCTTGTTACTTATTTGTCCTATATGTTATAGAAAAGAACAGAACAAAAGAGCCAATCCAGACATTATGAAACATATGATAAATAAGTTGCCTGGGTAGATATCAGATGATAAAAAATATTGCATTTTTTTTTCTATTTTGTTAATTGTGGTGTTTTACTTTTATTAGATCTAAAAAAATTGAATATTTGTTTTAAAGAGAGTCATTAATATTAAACATTCTTCACACATCCATGTTAGAAGTTCTTACATAATTAATTCATCCAATATGAATGTGAAATTGTGTATATAAAATGAAGTTTTAACCTTACTTTGAATGTTGAATTTCATAGTATTTCATAGAAATAATCAATAGAAAATATCTCTTTTCATTTTACCAAAGATATATATAAAACCACAATATATTGTTAAATACATGATAGGATAAAATTTATTATGTATATTTCTATTTAATTAAAATAGAGAATTCTTTTAAACAAATATTTGTTTTTTAATTGATAAAGGGAGACACTAAAATTAAAGACAATGTCTGAAATATTGCATGAACTGCTTTCTTAAATAATTCATTTTATATAAATGTGAAGCTGTATGGATAAAAGAAAAGTTATAAACATTCTTTGAATACTGTATTTAATGGTATTCCATAGAAATAATCTAGAAAAACGGTTACTTTTCTTTTCACCAGGTAGGTGGAAATTTTGCTTTTACTTCCTCTTTGAAATGAAAGGGAAATAACTCACATCCTCTTCCTATTTGTTGTTATGAGAGTTAATTGAATAATGTCTCTTAGATTTTTTTAAAATTTTGTCAATGTATTCTAAAAATACATGGTAAATGTATGGCTTAATTATCTATATATTTCTTTCTATTTAAATTATTTAATTGTATTAAAACATATATTTTTTAAAGAAAAATATAAGAATGAAATATCTCTCACTCTCTATTCCAAGATTAGCAGACTCACAATTTTGACGGCAAAAACCATCATCACTATTTGTGTAATTTGTATGGTTGATAATTTGATATCAATGATGTCTTTTCCCGTGTGTTAAGTAAATAACTTAATGTACGAAAATGAAGCCATTAAATTCCTTGATAAAGAGGGGTTAACCTAATGAAACATTGCTGATTGATTAACTTTATGCATGAGACAGTTTAAATTATTTTGATTCCATAATCTCTATAATCTCACCATTAATAAATAATATCTCAAAAGTACTGTGCTGCAGTACCTGTATTTGTATTCTCGGAAGCAAATTTTCTCGGAAAGATCCATTTTAGTAGTGAATATAAATATTCGCGCTAATTTGAATTCGCAGAGATGACTGTAGAAAATCATAGATTCGCGTACACCGCTCAGGCTAACGTGCATGATTGTTTCTCAGTTTTACAAAGTTTTACACTCTGTATATAAATCAGTTTGCACGCGCCGTCTAGTAGATATGCATTTGTCCGTATAGCAATGGGGAAAATTTTAGACTTGATTTTGTGCATTTTGTTTTTGTTTTATCAAAATCACATTGTTTTCAAATTTTCTAATAAAAATAGCTTTTCTGATGTACAACATGTCACAGAGCTTTAAGGGATTAAAATAAACTTTTAACTGAAGTCATAGTGTCATGATTGAATATCATATTCTTTTATTATTATTTAATTTTATCTACCTAATAAATAACGTGCAAATGAGCCAGTCTTTAGTCGATCGTTCTAAAGCTTAACCGTTGAGAGAGGTAACGACTGAGGCAGTGTCACTCACTTCATTTGCTCCGCCTCTGTTGAAGTTCGTCTCCGCCTGAAAGTGTCGCCAAATTCAATATGCTAGCATTAAGTCTTCGTTGACGGGGGTGGGGGGGATAGTAAACCAGGACAATTATGATCAATATAACTTGACGAATTATTAAATTACAAGTTACAAAGCCTGAACCACGCCTACTATCAGAGAGGCGGTTCTCCCTTAACCCTTAGTTCAACACAGACCCGTCTATAATGACGGGCAGAGAACAAGAGGTATCACTAAAATACGTAACGGAGATTATCTTTACCATACCTAGATTCTAGTAGTTTAATTTGTTATAAACAAGTACACAATACGTAACAAAGAATTGATAATATATGTCAATTTATTCATAACTATTATTTGATATAACAAACATATTTTCGCTATTTGTAAAATAACAGACAGTTCGTCCTCAAAACCATTCGAACATTATGCAATTCGAACCAATATTTAAATGGCCATATTCTCGGCACATATTGTCTTGAATTTATTTAAATTTTACCAATCATTTCAATTTCACTTGTTATCTAATTTATTTTGCTTCGACCAGACGTTTCAATCTTTGTTGCAAAAGACAAACATTTCAGAATTTCAGACACATACCAAGAACACGGAGAAACAAATAATTAGTGCTTTGGATATTCAGCTGTAATATAGAACGATTTTCAATTCTGATTTTGTACATTAGCTGTGACTGTTCACATCATTTGGCAACGTCTTTGATGTGCAGCATCAACATTTAACTTAATTGATGCTTGACTGATATGATTATCGAATTTCTTGAATGAGCTAATACATGTTTGTACAGTACCATTGCATCAAGCTAATTATTTCATTAACGTCTTGAAATCAGATCAGATCACAATTTGTTGACATTTTTAGGCTAGACTGTCTTGTATTCGGAAGGTTTATTTTTACTCTTAAATTGTAGAATTGTTCGAAGTTGTTTACCTTATTCTGCATGGTTAAGTAAGATGATGTTTTTATTTTAATAAGTTTAAGTTTAAAAGAACATCACTTAGGTTTTTCTACAATTGATCAATGTGGTGTTTAAAATAGAAAAAGGTGTAAAATATGAAAAAGAAATACACCCACAATTTAATTGAAAATGCAGATTTTGTGCTGCTCCTAAAATACTTCTAAAAAACAACCTCAGTGTTATATAGAATATATATTTGTAAATCATGATAATGCTTTAATGTAGTTAAATTGTTTATTGGTTTTTAGTTAAGTACAATGAAATACTTAAAAATGCATTTGATTTATTTAGTAATAACATCATGATACGCATGTATATATTGTGAAGTAATCAGAATAATATAGTAAATGGAATGTTTGGGACATCTAAGGGATATAACGACGGGCTGTTAATATCTCAACCTATTCATAACAGGGATTTTAAGGGCAATTGACTGTACATAAAATAAAAATCTGCACATTTAAATGACAAATTATAGATGTTGGAAAAGCAATGTATTTTCAAGTATTTCAAAAGGAGTATAATTTTTGCACCAGTTATTGTTTCAGGTTATCAAATTGCAATAGTCAGTTGTAACCAAGACACGCCCATCTACCAGAAGGACAATGTTGGGGGTTAGGGGGAGGGTAAATTTCCTTAGTTCCCTTACTGAGCTTACAAAGCAATGGTTTTGTTTTGGTGCCAAAATAGCAAGGATATGTACAGCTGCCCCTATTTATATTCAGATATACATTCTCCCATCTATTTATAGATGCATTTTCACATTTTCGCCTATTTATAAAATCTATTAATAGATCCATTCTCCCAACATTTTCCCATCTATGAAAAGATGCATTCCCCATCATTTCCCCACTTATAAATAGACGCATTCTTCCATCATTTTCCTATCTATCTATAGATGCATTGTCCCAACACACTCCCTCCTATAAAAATATGCATACCCCCATTTTCCCTCACTTAGAAATGTATATATTCCCCCATCTATTTAAAGATGCATTTTACCAACATTTTCCTATATATTTAATCTATAAATAGATGCATTTTTTCCAACATTCTATCACCTATAAAAAGATCCATTCCCCCATCATTTCCCCACTTATAAATAGATTCATTCTCCCATCATTCCATCATCTATCTATAGATGCATTGTCCCAACATTCTCCCATCTATAAAAAGATGCATAACCCCAATCATTCCCCCACTTAGAAATGTATACATTCTCGCATCTATAAATAGATGCATTTTCTTAACATTCTCCTACCTATAAAATCTATAAATAGATGCATTTTCTTAACATTCTCCCATTTATAAAAATATACATTGTCAAAACATTCTCCAATCTATAAAAAGATGCATTCTTTCCCAACGTTCTCTCATCAATAAAAAGATGCATTCTCGCTCAAATTTTTTCCATTTATAAAAAGATGAATCGTCCCAACATTTTCCTGTCTATAAATAGATGCATTTTCCTGACAATCTCCCATCTATAAATAGATGCATTATCTGCAACATCTCCAATCTTAAAAAATATGCATACTCTCTGTTTTTAATAGATGTATTCTCCCATCTATGCAGTTTTGTCTTTTTGCTGTGTCCATAATAATGTTACGATAGTGTCATTCAGTACTTACGTTTACGTCATATTTATATAGATTACCCATAAATTTTGTAGGAGTTTGTTCTTGCTGTGATAAAAAAGTCTTAAAATTATGTTATTTCAGAAAGGTAACATTCAACTTGTTTCTGTATTGTAATGAAGTTCACCAAATGCTTGTTTAATAGCATTTCCCATAAACCGAGCATTGTGCAAAGCTTTATAAGATTCCTTAATTTTTTATCATTCCATGTCATTGAATCACTTTAAACACCATCCTATTCAATTGAACTTTTTTTACTGTGCCATATCAATTTGAACATGATCAGTTGTATACCAGAATTGTTCACTATTCCAAAAATAAATACATTGTGTAAAATGAATAAATAATATATTTATAAAATTTTCAAAAAAATACACTAATAAGATGAACTAGTAGAAATGTATGTAATAATATAATTATGATATAGTTAATTGTAAAATATTATTACACTGTAAAAAAACTGACAATAATGCAGATAAAATATCTGTTAAGATATTCTTAAAATTATGTAATTAAAGGCATAAAAAGATGATTT